GCTGAAACATCTCAGTTGGTATTCCATCAGTTCATGGAGTCTTATTTTTCGCCAATGCCTGCAGTGCACATTGGACCTCTTCTTTCAATACCATCAGTTCTTGATCATATGCTACCTCCTGAAATGGCTGAACATCAACCAATTCTTTTTAGTACAGTGACTCGGTGTATTCCCTTCATCTTCTTTTGATGCTTCCTGCATCATTTAATATTTTCCCACAGAATCCTTCAACATTACAACTTGAGGCTTGAATTTTTTCTTTAGTTCTTTCCGCTTGAGAGATGCTGAACATGTTCTTCCCCTTTGGTTTTCTATCTCCAGGTCTTTGCACATTTCATGAGCATACTTTACTTTGTCTTCTTGAACCGTCCTTTGAAATCTTCTGTTCAACTCTTCTACTTCATCATTTCTCTCTTTTGCTTTAGCTACTCAACATTCAAAGGCAAGTTTCAGAGTCTCTTCTGACATCCATTTGGGTCTTTTCTTTCTTTCCTGTCTTTTTAATGACCTCTTGCTTTCTTCATGTATGATGTCCTTGATGTCATGCCACAACTCATCTGGTCTTTGGTCATTAGTGTTCAATTCGTCAAATCTACTCTTGAGATGGTCTCTAAATTCAGGTAGGATATACTCATGGTCATACTTTGGCTCTTGTGGACTTGTTCTAATTTTCTTCAACTTCAAGTTGAACTTGCATATGAGCAATTGATGGTCTGTTCCACAGTTGGCCCCTGGCCTTGTTCTGACTGATGATATTGAGCTTTTCCACCGTCTCTTTCCACAGATGTAGTCGATTTGATTCCTGTGTATTCCGTCTGGCGAGGACCACGTGTTTAGTTGTCGCTAATGTTGTTGAAAAATGTTATTTGCAATGAAGAAGTTGTTGGTTTTGCAAAATTCTATCATGTGATCTCCGTCGTCGTTTCTATCACCAAGGCCATATTTTCCAACTACCAATCCTTTGTTTCTAACTTTTGTACTCCAAACGCCAATAATTATTAATGCATCTTGATTGTGTGTGTGATCAATTTCAGACTGCAGAAGTTGGTAGAAATCTTCAATTTCTTCATCTTTGGCCTTAGTGGTTGGTGCATAAATGTGAATAATAGTCATATTAACTGGTTTTCCTTGTCAGCGTATGGATATTATCCTATCACTGACAGCACTGCACTTCAGGATAGATCTTGAAATGTTCTTTAATTGACTCGACAGAAACGGCTTTGGGTTTTTTTTGGGGGATGTAGGAGTCACTTTGTCTGACAGTGACCTGAGTCATTCACTTTCTCTGAGCATCCCAGGCTGGGTGAGGTGCCCCTCTCATGTCTGCTTTCTGTACCCTGTATTTTTTCCCATTGTGGCATGTATCACATTGTGTTACGAATGTGCATTTACTCCTTCATATTCACCACCAGACCAATGGCTCCCTAAGGCCAAGTGCTGTATCTAAACTATTCGGTTGTATATACCATAAGAATAATATATTTTTGTTAAATAAACGAATACAGGAATTTCCCCCAACTTACTGGTAAGAAATGATGAGGAAATTAACATACTTCATAAAACAATGAAGTACTGTATTAATTTAAAAAGTCAGAGCTATTAACTTAAGCTACCTTCTCCCCTTGTGAGGAAATCAAGTCTCGTGTCACGTAACGTATTTCTAAAACAAACTTAACTATTCTAGTAGTATAAAACCAAAAAAACCCGCAAACCTGTTGCCATCAAGTTGATTCCGACTCACAGTGACCCTACAGGATACAGTAGAATTGCCTCAGAGGGTTTCCAAGGCTGTGAATCTTTACAGAAGCAGACCGCTACATCTTTCTCCTACGGGGAGGCTGGTGGGTTTGAACCACCAACCTTTCTGTTAGCAGCTGGGTGCTTTAACCATTGAGCCACCAGGGCTCCTGTCTAGTAGTACAGTTAACTAACATCATCTCTGGCAAAACAATGAAATCTTCCTATATGGACCCCAAGTGAAAAGTACCTACAGTAGGCAGTTACAGTCACATGCCTTCCTCATTACTGCTATTGTCTGTGGTTAATGCAAAGCAGACATAATCGGCATAATTCAAAAATATCAATAATCTCAAGCAAATGCAAAATACAAACAAATAGGTAAGCGTGGGTGTCAACGAATCCTTGGAACAATATTAAAGTTTATTTAAGCTGAAAACTACCATCTCTCAGATCCAGAGGTAGCAATCTACAAAGAAACTGGAAACGCCTGTAAAGCACTAGCACCAGTAAACAAAGCATTCACAGAGATTCAACCTTGTCAATGGTTGCACATACACTATTACAAATAAAGGTTAATAATTTGCATTACAGATTCATCCTTCACTTAAAGTCAAACTTGTCCAAGTACCACTTCTTCACATATCACTGACCCATGAAAAGGGAGGGAAAAAATACAGCATCAGAAGCTACCACCCATTTAATACCAATTAACAATTTAATTGTGCACATCTACAAAATTAAAAATCCAAGACTAAGCAGGGCAGGTCAAGAAGCAGTGGTTCACAAGCTTTAGAATGCACAAGCGGAGCCTGTCAAAAAATACAGATTTCTGGGTTCTTCCCCGAGACTAACAGAATCAGAATCTCTGGGAGTGAGGTTCAGACATCTGTATTTAAAATAAATTCCATGGGTGATTCAAATACAGACAATCTAGGGACTACTTTCAACACTATGGAAAAGTTCCCATTTCAGTTGTTAAATATCTAAAAATGCCACAGTAACTGGAGACTTAATATACTGTTGCATTTTTCTTTTTTGCTGTTTATTCATCCCTATTCCACCAGCTGCTCCGCAGGAGAAAAGACCTGGTGATCTGCTTCCATAAAGATTACAGCCTAGGAAACTCTACGGGGCAGTTCTACTCAGTCATACAGGGTCTCTGAGTCGGAATCGATTAACGGCACACGGCACACAATTCCAAAGGAAAACAAAAGGACTCCGCCCAGCTGAAATGGCTTTTCCTCTCTACTGGGAAAAGTGCACGTGTGGCAAATAAAAATTTCCAGATAAATGAGAAATGCAAAATTATTTTCAAACAGTAGGCCTACCTAATACAGTGATGGTGAAACCCTCAGATCACGTGCTGGGTTTGTACATTCCTCCAAGATTACAATAACAGCCAACCGCACGAGAATATGCAAATGAACCGGAAGTGATGTCATGCGGTTTCCGAGCTTTATTATACCCTACAGTAATTTGATTTATTTAGAAAAGGCTATGTGCTTTGTTCCTGGTTAACACCACCAACCTTTTCCCTGCAGACATGAATCTGAAACAAACCAGTAATTGATTTTTTTCACATCTAGAATTAATGCAATCTGTCATTAAAGGCATAAAATATTCTAGTGACAAGCACTAAAAACTGAAATCAGTGAGAAGCACTAAAACTTTTTCAAAGGAAAGCTGACATAAAACCCAAGTTGCTATTCTGAGAGCCTTGCCATTTCTAATACTATAAACGCATCACATATAATGCAATACTACCACGAAAACAATTTCCTCACAATACATGCTGTCCAAGGCCAAAGAGTTACCAGCAGAACAATCAAAAGCATTTTTTCTCTTTCTATTCAAAATACACAAATGTTCTATTTGTACACTAGGTGAATTGTAAAATTCTCCCCGCCCCCCCCCCCACCTTTGCAAAGCTTAGATTACTGAGTTGGGGGTGGGGAATGTTTTTAAAAGTTACTTCATGATGACAAAGATGCCTAGAAAGGAAAGAGGGTCACGATTAGCAAAGTTACTCTTAGTTTCTATTCTGACACGTGCGGAAAAACCCAAAAGTCATTTAAAAAAAAAAAAAGCCGCACATTTCTTCAGGTCAATAACAAATGTGTGAATGGATACCACAAATACCCACACAACTAATTCTATCATAAGAACACTTTCAAATTACTTTGGAATCAGGTACTAAACGACGCATCTGGTACCAGCTTGTTTTCCTACATTGCAAAAGAGGGATTTTCCTCTGACCAAAGGCTTAGTTGAAATGAAAAAGAGTAAGCAACTAATTTTTTTCAAGCCTATTTGTTTAACTGTTACCTTTATATTTTGATTAGCAATGCCTTAAAATAACCAGGTTGTTTGATTATAACCGCAAGCACAGTAAAAACAAAACTCCGCATCTTTTCTTCAGGAAAGATAAATCAACGTTACACTGCGTGCTCGAAACCAGACCGACACATAACAGTATTTGCAGAAAGCCGATTTCAGAGTTGTGGAAAGTGAGGAAGACTAGGAGAGTAAGATTAGGTTTAGTTTCGCCACGTACTTGCCAAGAGACCTTGGGAGAGCCTCTCAAGTCTCTCACACCTACGAGACTGGGGTTATGATATTTACCCAAACTCATATGGTTAAAAAGGATCAAATGAGTTTATGTGAAAAAAAAGCCTTGACCACCATCTACATGAGGTGCTTAATTTATCAGAACATACTGCTATCTATATTTGTATCACCATGATAAACACTATTAAAAGTTATTACCGATTTTAAATTTCTATTACCCCACGTAGGCGTCGAAATTAAACCACTACTGAACTAAGATACAGCCACGATTTCCACCACCAATTCTGGTTAGAAATTTGTCTGAATATGACGCTCAACCCAAATAACGGAAGAATCTGCCCTTTTCCCTATTTCACAAAGCGGTGAAAACTCCGGGACCTCTAGCTCTAATAAAATACTCATATCCTCCCTTTCCCGCGTTTCACAGCCTCCATCAAGGTGCTTTTTTAATTTGACCAAGGGATCGCTTTGATTTCCTCAGTACTAAACAACAACAAATCATCCCTTATCCCTAGATACGAGCGAACTCCTCCTTCCTGGGCCATCCTCCCTGTTCCTTCGGGCGAGCAGGTCAAACACTCGACCCCGGCCGCAGCCACGGCCCCAAATCGCGCCGTGGGCCGGGCCCTAGCCCGCGCCTGCTCCCCTCCCCCACGGCACCCGGGCACAGGCCCAAGGCCCGCGGGACTTACGCTCTCGTGGTCCCACCGCACGTTGCTGCGCTTCTCGTCCGGGGCCAGGTTTCTGTCCCGGCCCATTAACTCATCCAACAATTGCGCGGCCGAAATCATGGTGCTTTTCCGGGCGGCTGCTCCCACCAGCCCTGGCACCCGTCAAAGAAAACACCGGGGACACTGCCGCCAGCTTCCACGGCCCGCTCTCAGGCCGAAAAGCCTCCGCTACAGAGGAGCCTATAAGACAAAATGGCCGCCGCGCGGGCGCCTTCCCAGCATGCCGCGCGAGCGCGCGCGCCCGCGAGGACGCGCCCAATCCCGGCGGCGGGGACGGGCCAAGCCACCGTCTGCCGGGGGCGGGACCCGCCAAGGCCGGGCGTGGACTCCGCCCCTCCAGGGAGAGGCTCAGTGGTGCCGCCTAGACCTTTGCCTCCGGGAGCTTGAGCACCCCCGAGGCTTGGCTGCGCGTTAACCTACCCAAGCGCTGCGTCTTCCCCAGGCTTTTTCAAACTGAGCAATAGAAGCCTACGTCGTGAAGCTTCGACATCTCTCCTAAATGGAGAAAAAAGCAGTATCTCCCTTTGTTTACCTGTGTTTCGTTGACTATGCAAAGGCATTCGACTGTGTGGATCAGAACAAATTATGGATAACATTGCGAACGGGAATTCCAGAAAACTTAATTGTGCTCATTCGGAACCTGTATACAGACCAAGAGGCAGTTCTTCGAATACAACAAGGGGTATTTCATGGTTTAAAATCAGGAAGGGTGTGTGCCAGGGTTGTATCCTTTCACCATACTTATTCAATCTGTATGCTGAACAAATAATCCGGGAAACTGGACTATATGAAGAACAGGGCATCAGGATTGGAGGAAAACTCATTAACAACCTGCGATATACAGATGACACAACCTTGCTTGCTGAAATTCAGGAGAACTTGAAGCACTTACTGATGAAATCAAAGATCACAGCCTTCAGTATGGAACACACCTCAACATAAAGAAAACAAAAATCCTTACAACTGGATCAATAAGCAACATCATGATAAACGGAGAAGATATTGAAGTTGTCAAGGATTTCATTTTTCTTGGACCCACAATCAACGCCCATGGAAGCAGCAGTCAAGCAATCAAACAATGCATTGGGCAGAACTGCTGTAAAAGACGTGTTTAAAGTGTTAAAAAGCAAAGATGTCACTTTAAAGACTAAGTGCGCCTGACCCAAGCCATGGTGTTTTCAGTTGCCTCATATGCATGTGAAAGCTGGGCAACGAATAAGGAAGACCAAAGAAGAATTGATGCCTTTGAATTGCGGTGTTGGCGAAGAATATTGAGTATACACCATGGATTGCCAGAAGAACAAGCAAATCTGTATTGGACGAAGTATAGCCAGAATGCTCATAAAGCGAGGATGGCGAGACTTCGTCTCACATACTTTGGACATGTTTTCAGGAGGGACCAGTCCCTGGAGAAGGACATCATGCTTGGTAAAGTAGAGGGTCAGCGAAAAAGAGGAAAACTGTTTACGAGATAGATTGACACAGTGGCTGCAATAACGGGCTCAAACATAACAATTCTGAGGATGGTGCAGGACCGGGCAGTGTTTTGTTCTGTTGTACGTAGGGTCGCTATGAGTCGGAACCGACTCCACCGCAGCGAACAACAACCGTTTGTCCCACGCAGTGTTCATGGTGCCATCTTCCAGTGGAGGAAACTAAAGATCAGTGTTCTGATTCCCTGCTCCAACTCCACCCTCTTCTCTGTGCCCACCATTTTACTTTGAACACCCTTACACATTATTGAGTGTCCTCCAGTGTTGCAAACATCGATCTCTTCCTTTGGTATGAGAGTTCCTTTATATCAGGTGCCATTTCTTATTCCCAGATTCTGGCACAGTATATAACATGTGGGAGGTAGCTCCTGTTCACCGCTCACCCCATTATGGTCTGGTTGCCATCCCTACTACTCCACTGCAACTTCCCTTTTCAAGGTCACTAGCAGTTTCCTTGTGTTTAAATCCACTTTACACTTTTAAGCCCTTTTCCTTCTTGCACTTTTTTTTTTTTTTTTTGCCATTTCTGCAGCTTTTGACCCTGTGGATCCCTCTCTCTTCTCCAAACCCTCCCATTCTTTTGGTTTTCCTCCTATTCCAGCTGCTAGATGTCAGAAAGAAGAGACTCTGAAAGTTGCTCTTGAACGTAGAGTAGTAGCTAAAGCAAAAGTAAGAAATGATGAAATAAAAGAGCTGAACAGAAGATTTCAAAGGGTAGCTCAAGACAAAGTATTCCAATAAAATATGCAAAGACCTGGAGACAGAAAACCAAAAGACAAGAACATGCTCTGCATTTCTCAAACTGAAAGAACGAAAGAAAAAAATACAAGCCTTGAGTTGCAATATTGAAGGATTCTATGGGCAAAACATTAAACGACGCAGGAAGCATCAAAAGAAGATAAAAGGAATACACCGAGTCACTGTACCAAAAAGAATTGGTTGATGTTCAGCCATTTCAGGAGGTAGCATATGATCAAGAACCAATGGTACTGAAGGAAGAGGTCCAAGCTGCACTGAAGGCATTGGTGAAAAACAAGGCTCCAGGAATTGACAGAATACCAACTAAGATGTTTCAACAAATGGATGCAGCGCTGAAAGTGCTCACTTGTCTATGCCAAGAAATTTGGAAGACAGCTACTTGGCCAACCGACTGGAAGAGATCCATATTTGTATCCATTCCAAAGAAAGGTGATCAAACAGAATGCGGACATTATCAATAATATCGTTAATATCACACGCACGTAAAATTTTGCTGAAGATCATTCAAAAGCGGTTGCAGCAGTACATCGACAGGGAACCGCCAGAAATTCAGGCCGGATTCAGAAAAAGACGTGGAACAAGGGGTATCACTGCTGATAGAGGGATCATGGCTGAAAGCAGAGAATACAGAAAGATGTTTACCTGTGTTTTACTGACTATGCAAAGGCATTCGACTCTACAGATCATAACAAAGTATGGATAACATTTCGAAGAATAGAAATTCCAGAACACTTAATTGTGCTCATGAGGAACCTAGACTAAGAGGCAGTCGTTCAAACAGAACAAGGGGATACTGCGTGGTTTAATGTCAGGAAAGTTGTGTACCAGGGTTGTATCCTTTCACCATACTTATTCAATCCGTATGCTAAGCAAATAATCCAAAAGCTGGACTATACGAAGAAGAAGGTGGCAGCAGGATTGAAGGAAGACTCATTAACAACCTGTGTTATGCAGATGACACAACCTTGCTTGCTGAGAGCAAGGAGGACTTGAAGCACTTACTGATGAAGATCAAAGACCACAGCCTTCAGTATGGATTACACATCAACACAGAGAAAACAAAAATCCTCATAACTGGACCAATAAGCAGCATCATGATAAATGGAGAAAATACTGAACTTGTAAAGGATTTCATTTTAGTTGGATCCACAATCAACGCCCATGGAAGTGCAGTCAAGAAATCAAATGATGCATTGCATTGGGCAAATCTGCTGCAAAAGACCTCTTTGAAGTGTTAAAAAGCAAAGATGACACTTTAAGGACTAAGGTGCGCCTGACCCATCCGATGGTGTTTTCAATCACCTCACATGCATGTGAAAGCTAGACACTGAATAAGGAAGACCAAAGAAGAATTGATGCCTTTGAATTATGGTGTTGGCGAAGAATCCTGAATATACCATGGACTGCCAGAAGAACAAACAAATTTGTATTGGAAGAAGTACAGCCAGAATGCTCATTAGAAGTGAGGATGTCGAGACTTCACCTCACATACTTTGGGCACGTTTTCAGGAGTGACCACTCCCTGGAGAAGGGCATCATGCTTGGTAAAGTAGAGGATCATTGAAAAAAGAGGAAGACCCTCAAGGAAATGGATTGACACAGTGGCTGCAATAGTGGGCTCAAACATAGCAATGATTGTGAAGATGATGCAGAACTGGGCAGTGTTTTGTTCTGTTGTACATAGGGTCGCTATGAGTCGGAACCAACTCGATGGCACCTAACAACAACAACATTCCAGCTGCTCCTCTTCAGTTTTATTTGAGGACTTCTCTTCCATGCATCATTAAAATGGGATATTCTTCAGGGTTCTCTCTTTGACTGCTTCTCTCAGTGCTCAACACACTGTCTTGGGGCCATCTCTTCCATTCCGTTGACTTTGCTAGCACCTTTTGCTGATGACCGCTATATCCAAATTACCAACTCAGCTCTCCTTCCTGAATGCTGCACTCATACACACAACTGCTTACTGGGCACCTTCACTTAAATGAAAACTGGAAAATAAAGCACAGGCTCTGGAGTTGGACTGCTTGAGTTCAAAGCCGTATAGCATTGGACAATTTACTTACGTCTCTGTGTCTCAGATAAAATGATGGTTCTACCTTACAGGATTGTTGTGAGGATTAAATGAGATAATTCATGTTCAGCACTTAGCACAATGCCTGGCAATGAGTAAAGACTGACAGTAGTAGATAGTAGTAGTAGTTAAAGGTCCTCAGAAAGCTCAATTCAACAGATTTGAAACTGAATTCATCACCACACCTCAAACCTGCTCATCATCCTCTGTTCCAAATCTCAGTAAATGGCATCTCTACTTACCCAGCCAGAAACATGGGTGTCACCCTTGTTTTCTGATCACCACTCCCCTCCCATTCTATCAGATTCTCTTCCCTAACTTAATCTTGCCGTAACATTGCTGCCATCCAGTAAGTGTTTACTATGTTCAGGCTCTACATATATTAATTCTTCCAATCCATAGAACATTGCTGTGAACTAGGTACTATTTTAATCATTCTTATTTTGCAGATGCAGAAATTAAGGCACAGGAAGATTAACTCATCCAAGATTACAGGACTAGCAAAGCTGGGATATAAACCCAGGCAGTCTAGCTTCAATCTCCATACTCACAACCACTATACTCACACTCACAACCATATGCCATACTGCTTCTAATACTTACATTCTATTGTTTGCTGTGTTGGTCTCTCCCTGCTGGAGAGTGTGCTCTTTGAAATCAAGGGCTCTGATTTGTTTGCAGTAGCATCCCCATTGCCTAGAACAGTGTCTGGCAAACAGTGCATGCTTAGATAATTCCACAGAGACAAGATAAAGTATAGATAAATGTGAGTAATAGAATAGCCATCAGGGTGCATTCAATTATGGCCGGGAGTAGAGATTTGTTTTTGGAGAGAGTTTTTGGTTTTTATCCGAGGATAACAAGCAGAAGATTGGAGTCAGGTATAAGTAGAGGTTTAGTTTAAAAAGATATTAATATTCACTGATTGAACAGCTATTGTGGGGCACATACTGTATAATCCTCTTAAGGAAAGGAAATTTGACAAAAAAATAAAATTTTATAAAGAGAGCTCACAGACTTTGGCATGAAGTCACTACCAATTTTTTTAAACTGCTTTTTAATAAAAGAGGCCACTACCTACTCCCAAATCACTCAAGTTGTGTTATAGGGCCCAATTACAGGGCCACGCACATCTGCTTCAGATGGAGTCTCACACTGGATCTGAGAATGAAAATTCAAATTGGGGAACAAATAAAAATGTAAGCTTAAGCAGAGTTCCAATTTGTCCTGGGGGCAATTTAAGTGTGTAGTCAGTTTATATTCAACACCACCTGGCGTGCAGTGTGTACTCCGTGAATTACTATATCATAATAAACACACCTTTTTTTTTTTTAACAGTAGCAAGAAAAGCGCTTGCTGTGCATACCCTGGGCAGCCCCAAGAGACGGAAATGAAAACTCAATGCCTAAATGTGTCCCTTCCTATTTTCTCTCCCTTTGTTCAGACCTTCCTCCCTCCCTCCCCAGGTTATTTCCTTAATCCTCCTGACCTCATCTGCAAAATTCCATCCTGTGCCATGTCAGAGGATCTCTCCAAGGTACCCGGACTCAGCAAAACAATATTTTTTTTTTCTCTCACTGGGTAGTAAATACAGTGCCAACTCAGGCCCTGAGCCTCCTTAAATTGATTAGGCAAGGAGTCAGGCAAAGTGCTGTTTATGTACACACTGATCCTGGAGCTCCTGGGATCAGGACCAGAAATCCAAAGCATCCTTGGTGTTTTTCCTTTTTCCCTTACATGGCCTTCATGAGAAGTAATTAATTATGATTTATAAGCAATAATAAATTACAGTTTATGAACTGTATGTGCAATATAAATACTTTTCCAGAAAGCCAAATTAAAAGAAATCCGTCTAAAACGAGATGTAAAACAACACCAATGGAAATAAATATTCTAACTGAATGGCCCCAAGCACTGTCAAAAGAAGAAGGAACAGTGTAATCTATCTCTGCAATAATGGGCATATTATAGCAGGATCGTTTTCAGCCCATTTCCCCATCCTGCTGGGCAAGAGTTGGCTCAAATAAGGAAAAAGAGCCAAACAAACTGTAAAACAACAACCCACCAATTATTTTTGATGCCTGGTAAACAGCCTGTGCCAGAGGATAAGGCTTTTTCTGGCTTTCAAATATGCTTTTTTCTTTTTCCATGTGTCCGTCCTCCTCCCTTGAAGCTGGGGGAGGTCTAAAAATAGTCAATGAATCACGGCAAATAATGTGCAGGAGTTACATAAACAGCCAGCCCGGGCTCCGGGGCCAAGGGTAGGAACGGAAAATATCTGGGTCAGAGTTGTCACACTGAATAGGGTCCCCCGGAGCCGGCCTTCGGGAGGCGCGGCCGAGAAGGAGGCCTGGCCCGGAAGGAGGCCTAGGCCTGTAGGCCGGGAGCAGCGGGGGAGCCGCGGGCGGCTCGCGGGAGGGAGCCGAAGTCCCAGGACGGGCGCGGGCAGCGGCGCAAGCAGGGCGGGAGAACTCTGCGCTCCCTCCCCATGGCTGGGAGCGGGCCGCGGCGGGGGCGGTGCTGACAGGCCCCGGGAGGGGCGGGCGGCTGGGCCCGGGCGGGGGCCTGGGGCCGTAGGAAAGATGAGCGCTCTCCTAGAGCAGAAGGAGCAGCAGGAGAGGCTGCGAGAAGCCGCGGCCTTGGGGGACATTCGGGAGGTGCAGAAACTGGTGGAGAGCGGGGTGGATGTGAACTCCCAAAATGAGGTCAACGGCTGGTAAGTGGGGAGCGGGGGAGGCCTAGAGTCAGAGCAGCCGCCTGGGATTGGGGAGCGGTCGGCCACGGCCGCCGAGTTAACACGAGGCCTGGCGCCTCGGGTCTCCGCGGTTGTACCCTCTCGAGGCCAGCCCTGGTCCCCCCTCCCCGTTGTAGTCAGGAGCGCGTCCTGCCCACGTGATCCACCGAGGGCAGCGACCACCGAGACCCTGGCGCTCCTACCGCACCCCCCCTCCAGGGGCTAATTTGGCTAGAACGGTGCTGATTCTGATTCTCAGCGACTACCTAATATGCGCTGGAGCTCATCCTAGTTCAAGTGTTGAATTCTTTTGCCGTAGGTGCTTCTGAAGAAAATACCCATGCAGAACTAAAAGCATAAGCAACTGAGCAAATATGAATCTTAAAAACGAGCCCGATTTCTTTCCCAAAGACCAGAAAGGAAATCGTTTGCTTTACTCTTCTGCTTCTCTGTTGTCTCTTTGCAGCTGCCGACAGCTGCCCGTTGAAGGAAGACTCTCTCATTTATTCTAGAGTGTTTTGCTTTGTTTTCTTACACAATTTCAAATATAGAATTTGATATAAGGCTCCAGTTGCCTGCCTGCAGGTTGAGCCCTTCGCAATTAAATAGGGCATGTAGTCTTAAGATGTGCTGATGATCAAATCTTCAGTTTTGAGTTACTGAATGTGGCATTATTCTGCTCTTTTTGCATTTAAAAATTTAAATTTTATTTGATCCAGGTAATGCTTAACCAGCCTATTTTGCTAGCGTAGAATTAAAGTGTGGTCGCAAATGTTTTATTTTTTAAAGTAGAAGCATACATTTTGGAGTTGAAAGGGACATTGGAGATGGGTTCAACCCCAGAGAATAACTTGCCCTGGGTCACACAACTAATTAATATGATAGCTAGGACCGGAACTGAGGTTCCCTGACTTCCTCACAAATCTGTCTGCCTCCTATCCCTAAAGAAAACAGCCTGGGTGGCTGTTCAGAAAGCTAGAAAAACAACTTTAAAAGTGTTTGCAGAGGAGCTTGCTGTCTTGAGTGTACCTTTCTTCGCATTGCTGTGGTTCAGGAGCTGTAAATTACAGTTTTGGCACTAGGAGGCAGTGTTGTGTAGGGGAAGAAGCCCTGGTCTTGGCTGTAGGTTCCATGCCTGCCTAGCTTTGTCACCTTGCCAGAGTTGCTTTATTTTCCATTTACTTCAGAAGAGTGTTGTGAGCATTTGCAAGATGAAGTTAATAGCTAATATTTACTGAGCTTACTCTGTAGCACAGGCACAGTTCTAAGTGCTTTATATGTGTTATCTGCAACTACTTAGGGACATAAACCCAAACCCATTGCCATTAAGTCAATTCTCACTCATAGTGACCCTGTAAGGATGGAGTAACTCAGGAACATAGCTATTGTTATCCTCTCCATATTATAGATGAGGAAACTGAGACCCAAAAAGGTTAAGTAATTTCACCAAGGCCATAGAACTTTCAGTAACTAGTATAACTGGAACACAAACCCAACATCTGACCCTAGACCCTCCAGACGCTACCCTACCACAATGCCTGTCACACATGCTCAGTAAATGTAAGTTGAATCTGAAGTAACCTGAAGAGTCTTCTGATGGATTTAATTGGGGAAGATGTGTAATAACCCGTTGCTGTCAAGTTGATTCCAACTCATAGCGACCCTATAGGGCAGAGTAGAACTGCCCCGTATGGTTTCCGAGGATTGACTGGTGGATTCAAACTGCTGACCTTTTGGTTAGCAGCCAAACGCCTAACCACTGTGCCACCAGGACATCTCAAGCTCAGCAAGTCCATGATTAAATTTTTAGTCTCTCCCTTCACCTACCTCCCATTCCAAACCTGTGCCTCTGAGCCCTCCTCATCTCATCTAATGGCAACTTCTTTCAGGTACTCAAGCCTAAAACCTTGGCACCTTCCTTGCTGCCTCTCTTTCCCTCATCCCCCACATCCAATCAATCGCCTTATCTTGCTAATTATACCTCAGATATAGTCAGAATCTGATCTCTTCTCACTAACTGTACCACTATACATGTGGTACAGTCCTCCATCATTCTTTCATCTGGATTATTGCAGTAGCCTCCTAACTAGTCTCCTAGCTTCTACCCTTACACCCTACAGTCTTTTCCCAACACAGCAGCCAGAGGGATCCTGACTTAAAGCACAAGTGAGAATATTTCACTTTGCTCAAAGCCCTCTAATGGCCCCCATCTCACTCCAAGGGAAAGCCTACAATTTCTACTTCCTGTCCCTCCACCCTGTCTCCTTAGTCTATGCCCCATCTCTTGGGATTTGCCCCCTTGCTCACTTCTTTCTGCCCCACTGGCTTCTTGCTTTTCTTATAATACTTGGCACATTCCTGATTCAAGGCCTTTGCGTCTTCTCTTCCCTCTGCCTGAAAGGCTTTTTCCCCAGGTCCCAGATGCTTTGCTCCCCCACCTCCTTCAGATCTTTGCTTAGTTGTTACCTTCGTGAGGCCTTTCCTTGACCCTCAATTTATAATTGCACCACACCTCTCCCCAACCTCTGGCATTCCCTAATCCCTTTCCCTGCTTTATTGTCCATATTACACTTAATGACCACTTACCATACTATATGCTTTGCTTACTTATTTGCTTACTATCTTAGTTTCCTCATCTGTTAAATGGGGGAATGTTAATAATAGAACTTGTTTTGAGGATTAAATGAGGTAATATATTTAAAGCACTTAATACAATGCCTAGTATGTAAAGCATTATATCTGTGTTAACTATTATTATTTTCTTATTAAACAATGTGCTGGGAAATGAGATGTAAAAGTACCTTCAAAAGACTTATTTTCTAGCATAGAAAAGCAGAATGTGACTGCTTTCATTTTGTGTTTGCTCAGTAACCACAATTTCAGCACTGATGAATGATTTCCAGTGCCTCTGGTCCAAAATACTGCCCAGCACTAATAGGATATTCTGACTGCGAATTTAGACCTGAAAGAGTTGAAGTTCAAAGATAGAGCTCCCACATTAATTGTAATCTAAGTGACATGCAAACCCTGTGGCTTTAAGAAACAAGTATAATGGCTCGTGAAGAAGTTGAAAATACTGCCTTGACTGCAATGGCTCCGAGTTACAGCTGCCTAGAGTCACACAGCTCATGCCTGTAAATGATGGTCGTTAAGGGCGCAGGGCTGTGGGGGACGTGCTGTGTTGACTTTACCCCTCTTTACGTGGTGATGCTTTAGCTAGTTGATTTGTCCCAGAGTCTCTCAGACCCACTGGCAGTAAATTACCTCCTTCACTTCCAAGCTTGCCATGAACAAGTGATTTACTACCAGCAAGAGAGTGTTTTATTTCCAAATGGGAGCATATTTTTCTCATCATGCTCCATTCATTTTTGAGTGCTCACTTATCATTATAATTATTCATTTTTCCAGCCTATGCCACAGACAACCACCCACAAACATACTCTAGGCTTCAGTTCTTCCAGAATCAAGGATATATTGGATCCTTCTACTCTAAGTGATGTCCACCTTGTCCTTGGTTCACTCATTGAGCAAGTATTAATTAAGCACCTGGTACATGCCAAGCAGATACTTTCTTATCTTCATGGAGCTTATAGTTTAGAAGCCTAGACCAAGACTCTTCTCTTATTTTTCCCAAACTGGCAGTTATGTTATCATAGAGTACCCAGTAACCTTAAAGGATAATCTAATTCTAATGAATGATAATGTAGAAACCTCAGTGGAGTTACTCCCAGCCACGCAGACAAGGTAGCTTTCTGAAAGTCACAAATGTTAAGGTGTCTAGGGCAAATTAGCTTTTCCCTGGAACCAAATAAACTTTGTGGATGACTGCCTATGCTTCCCAGAGTTGTGACCTAACCCTCACTATTGAACATATGTTCTGTTCTTCATCATATCTGTATTTGGCTATAAGCTCTGAGTTCAATCTGTATCTCAGTTCAATTAGAGAGTTGACGAACAAGGCCATTTCAAAACAGGGAAAAGTGTTTTCTTCTCATAATATGCATTCAGCTTTGGCAACTGGGGATGAATTTAGTAGTGCTGAATCCTTTAATCTCTGTTAAGATGGAGTTTTTGCTGGCATGCTAATTACATTTCTGTGCAGTATTAAAATAATGGCTCTTTAGAGTGTGCATAATCCCTTTCTATGTGTACAATATTAAATAATTAGTTTTTACTTAAATGAGTCCTATACATTAGAAGAGCCTGTTTATGAAAAATTTTGATCGTGGATGTACATTTTTTACAGTGCCTTAGGAATTAAAGTATGTGTGCAATGCCTTACACAGATGACGATGTGTTTGTTGCCTTCTAGAGAGAACTAGACAAGCCAAATTTTTTAAAAAATGGAAATTTAGAAATCCTTTTTTTTTTTTAATGAAGAAAGAAAAGTAAAGAGGAAGAGAGAGGGAGCAGCTGAGATTCACACAGGAATATCTGCTGCAGTAACAATAATTTAAGTAACAGCACAAGCTTGCAGATAGGAGATGCTTATTAGTCTAATAATATTTAATCTCCAAGTGGCATTTGATGCATATGAAGCAAGTTTCCATAGCCCCTAAAAAGGGATGTGGCAATATGAAAATAAATTTTAAAGAGACTGAGACATCCTAATGAGGATACTGATAGAGTAACACTCTGCAACATCATTGAAGTTATCTCGCCAGCGTTCTGGAAGCCATTGAAATTTAGAGCTCAAAGGACAAATTAGTTTTTCCCAGGGGCCAGAAGTGGAACTTAAAAATAAACTTTAAGCATATTAAATATTTTGATTATCTGCTTTATAAAAAGAAAAGTTGAGATTACCAGCCTGGTTTCCTGGTTTTAGCTGAACTCTTAAGAGGCTTACGTGTGTTTATAACATTTAGAATTTGAAAATCCAAATCACTTCTCCTCTTTTTAAATCACCCCTCCCCTTTTCTTTTCTTTTTAATCTGGGCAGGACCTGTTTACACTGGGCATGTAAACGCAATCATGGCCAGGTGGTCTCTTACCTGTTAAAATCAGGAGCTGACAAAGAGATTCTTACCACAAAAGGAGAAATGCCAGTCCAATTGACATCAAGGAGAGAAATCAGGAAGATCATGGGAGGTGAGTCTGTGTTTTGGGGAAATTTTTGGTTTTGTCAAACTGACTTGAAGATTTGTGGTATTATTGACTTGCATCAAACAACTGGTCTATTTCTAAAGGCTAATTACTGTGCCAAAATAGTAATTCCATGTTGTTTCTGGAAGGGTCAGCATTAAATAAGGTTTTATTTTTTTATCTGTAAAATTTAAGACAGTAATAAAAATGGTAATCATAAACCCAGTGAAATATTCTTTTCTCCTCTGACCTGAGGAAGCAATAAACACTGACCAAGATATTTGTCACATACCAAAGGACAAGAGCTTCTACAAGACACGCTTTTTTCTTCGTAATTTTTAAAGGGGTATGTAAGTGTTCTGTATTTGCTTCTTTTTAAGTGGAAGATGATGATGATGACGACGACAGCCTCCCCCAGCTGAAGAAGGAGTCAGAACTGCCCTTTGTTCCCAACTATTTGGCCAACCCAGCCTTCCCTTTTATATACACCACCACAGCAGAGAATAGAGCCCAGCTGCAGAACAGGGGCCCCTCCACACCTCCTGCATCGCCCCCTGCAGATGGCTCACCCCCATTGCTCCCCACTGGGGAACCTCCCCTGCTAGGGGCCTTTCCTCGGGACCACACCTCTCTGGCCCTGGTTCAGAACGGTGATGTGTCTGCCCCCTCTGCCATACTCAGAACACCAGAAAGCACAAAACCAGGTCCTGTTTGTCAGCCACCTATGAGTCAGAGCCGTTCTCTGTTCTCTTCTGTCCCGTCCAAGCCACCAGTGTCTCTGGAGCCTCAAAATGGGACATATGCAGGACCGGCGCCAGCATTCCAGCCATTTTTCTTCACTGGAGCATTTCCATTTAATATGCAAGGTAACCCCTCAGCAGCAGCAAACTGCCTCTGCATCGGGCAGACAGTGTCTAAGGGCTAGTGCTTTATTTCCTAGTCTTTTTTGGTGATGTGTGTGTGTTGTAGGGGTGGGTATTTATATATATTTGGGTATAATTACAAACTTACAGAAATGTTATATAGGGAACTCCCTTTACTCAGATTCGCAAATTGTTTTCCTTTTACTCTTTTGCCCCAAAGTACTTAAGTGTGGGTTTCCTAAGAACAAGGATGTTCTCATATATAGCCACAGCACAATTACCAAATTCAGGAAATGAAACCTTGATATAATACTTGTTATCTAATCCACAGTCCATATTTAAATTTTGCCAATTGTTTCAACAACGCCCTTTGTAGCTCTCCTCACTCCCCATATCCCCTGCTGCTGCCCAGGATCTAATCCAGGATCACGCATTGCATTTGGTTAATTATCGTGCTGTTTAGTCTCCTCTAATCTGGAACATTTCCTTAGCCTTTCTTTATCGTTTCTGACCTTGGTATCTTTGAAGAGTCCAAGCCGGTTATTTTTAGAATAGGATTTTCTATCATTTCTTCTGTATTTATTAGTTGGTGTTCTACTGTAAAGAAGAACTTTCCTTTTTCCTCTATTTATAGCAGTATGGACTCGTGGAGTCTTACTTTATTCAACAGGTTATAATCCCTATCATTATTTTGATGTTCAGATTATCTCATACTTGGCCAGTGGGAGCCCCTTCAAGCTGGTTCTTGTGTCCCTTTGACATGTCCCCATCATTCTTAGAGCACTTCCTTGCTATTGGTGCAACAAGATGCTCCAGACTCACAGTGTACTTTTCCCTGCCCCAGCCCTGGAATCAGCCATTTCTCCAAGAAGCCCTGCTTCTATTTGGTGGAGAATGATATTCAGAAACCAAGATGTGAGCGCTGGGTGTGCTCATTGTCACAGGTATGCCATTTCAGCTAGGCCCTCTCTCTCAGAGGACAGAATCAGGAAAAAAACAAATACGGATGTAAACAGAAAAATGCACGTATATGTTTATATGTTTACATGTAAACATGTATCTGTATTTCTGTATCTGTTTGATTATATCTATTATATATACTTAAAACCACCAGTTCATCCTGATACCTCCAATTCCAAACCAACATCACAGGCTATAGTTTAGTATTATCTTTCTGTTTTTCAGAACTAACTCTCACTTTCTGTTTTTGAGGGCCTGCTAATATACGTGCTGACAACAGTGGCCTAGGGGTGCTGTGATGTCTTCATATATAAGGAGCAAAACAGAAGTGCCAAGTGCACATAGATGCCTGCTTGGGCCATCTTGGCAGCCAGGCTCTGAATAAAAGGGCAGACTGCTTAGGTTCCAGACCCATGAATAGCAGTACCAAAGCCAAGAGCCTCCCTGAATAAGGCCTACTGTATTTGGATCATAGTTAAATTTGTATTAATAGCTTATCTTTTCACTCTTTTTATTGTGTTTATTGCAAGGAGTATAATACTTCATAAATACCTTTAGATCTACAGTTGTTAATTTTATTTTTTAGAGTAACTCATGTACCATATCTTGCCCTTGTCTTCCTTCCAACCCTCTTCTCCTTCCCCTGTTTAAGTGTAGTTAGTTTAAACCCAAACCCATTCTTAAGTCTTTACCTCCTTAGCTCCAGCAGCAGAAGTAAATTATCCTTCTATGCCACAGGGATGGCTCACCCCCCTTTTTTATTTGTGTACCACAGTCTTAGATGTAGGGATGATGGTGCAGGAAACTGCCCTAGCAGAGCCAGAATTGGGGCTAGGCAAACCCTGCTGATGGTGTTGGTTGTTCATTGGGTGGAATGGGGCAGGACTAAGTGTAACCATCTTCCGGAGAAGATCTTAAATTACACGGGCTGTCCTATGCCAGAACCGTTCATTCACATTCCCCTTTTTTTCCTAGAGCTAGTACTCAAGGTGAGGATTCAGAACCCATCTCTTCGAGAAAATGATTTCATTGAAATTGAACTGGACCGACAGGAACTCACCTACCAAGAACTGCTCAGAGTGAGTTGTTGTGAGCTGGGAATTAGTCCAGATCAAGTGGAGAAGATCAGAAAGTTACCGAACACTCTGTTAAGAAAGGTAAGAAAGGTCTGTTAAGTATGAGTGGTTGCTTTTTGCATTTGAAAAACACCTAGCTTCCTCCTTGGTTATATGAGCCCCAGTTGAAGAAATGAGAATAGAAAAAGAGTGAAGGGTGGTCTACCAAATGTAATCAATCACTGAGTTTTCTTCCCCTCTACCGAGGCTGGAGAGACACTGGCATTTTTAAGAGCTATAGAATACCAGAGGAGCCCTGGTGGTGCAGCGGTTAAGACCTCAGCTGATAACCAAAAGGTCGACAGTTTGAATCTACCAGCCGGTCCTTGGAAACCGTATGGGGGCAGTTCTGCTCTGTCCTATAGGGTCACTATGAGTCAGAATCAACTGGACAGCATTGGATTTGGGTTTTGATTAGGATATCAGAGAGAATTTTATGAATAACCATTCACATGTACCTGTTTTCAGATGTTTTACTTGTGATCTGTAAGGATTACTTTAGTGCACTGTTAGATGTGCCTTGTGTTTTACAAGGTAAGAACCAAGTTAAATCACAGGCAAATCCACATGGATACATGTGCAGTCCTCCCAGTGTCCCTGAGTTCCTTGAATACCCAGCCCATCAGGCTTCTGGCTTCTCTGGGCACTTGAGGAAAACTGGTCCATGCGTTGCTTCTCCCTTCAACCTGTGCTCATCCTGTAGCAGCTGCTGCTAAGGGTTTCCACCATTCCCACCCAACTCATGCCCTTGGGGACTGCCCTGCACAGTCGCTGACTTATCCTTGCCACAGGGATTTTTTTTTTTTTTCCTTCTTGCTTCTAGGTTTTAAAATGAGCCAATACTGATATCAACACAACACAGCAAACATGTGGACACAAATGGCTCCTTGTAATGTGTTTAACCTACTTTTGTTTTAGGACAAAGATGTTGCCCGACTCCAAGATTTCCAAGAGCTGGAACTGGTTCTAATGATAAGTGAAAATAATTTTCTGTTCCGAAATGCTGCATCCACACTGACTGAAAGGCCTTGCTACAACAGGAGAGCTTCAAAACTGACTTACTAATGCAGTAGGGACTTTTATCACTGAGGGTTGTGACAGTGTGTGTCACCTCTGGGCTAAGGACAAGCCATTGAACTAAATCAAGGCTAGTATTCTACACTTCTGCCTTGGATGCCTGGGAGGGCCCTGGTGCCACTGCGTAGTATACACTAACACCGCCTGCCAAGGTAGGAAGCCCCTGACCCCCAAGCAGTGGTGCCACTCTTCCAAGCCTCTTGGTGCACAATAAACCTATTGCTTGAAGCTTTAGACAGCTGAGAAGTGGTCTGGAGAGGCAGGACCCGAAGGTTTCTATATCCAGTGGGCTTTACATGTAGAATGTGAGAGAGTTGTCTCAGCAGAAGAGGAGTGCGGAGCCTATTTCAAGCCTCTGCTGTTGACAGTGCACCTGAAGGGCTGGGATGCACTGTTCTTCCTGTTGCATGCTCACAACTCCTAAAATGTGAACTAACCAGACAGGAAAATTGGGTACTGGACAAATGAATTTTAGCGTGACTTGTAGCTGTGAGGTTTCATATGACATAGTTATAAATGTTACTCAGGTTAAAAGTATTTAAGAATACAGTTACCTAATTGTAAATAGGCTGTTAACCAAAAGAGCTTCCCCTTCCCCGCCTTTCCCTCCGTAACATTCACACCTGCTTCTGTCTCTAGTCAGCCATTGCCCAGTTGTCTCTGCATTAACTCCCCTTCGTGGTCACTAGAGGGCTCTCTGATGATTACTAAAAGAGTCGCCCACTTTCCACTCTGAAGCAATTCCTGCCATCTACATGTTTGATTGCACCGAACGAGAAGAGCACAAACATTGCTGGTCCGTGTTTTCCACTTTCATTTTCCACTAGAAATGAAAAGCAATTGTTCAGACTGAATCTGTTGCTATTTTAAAGGTTATCGTGGGAACCTGAGCTAAAGGAGTTAGCATCTTTATTTTTGTATCAAAGATAAAGGTTATTTTGAAATTATTAGAATTTTCACACAACTCTGAAATCTGTTGCTTTTGTAAACAAATTGTTTGATCTAGGGATGCCCCCGTTTCCTGCCACCGATCTACTTAACACAGCCAGTTGTGAGTCTACCAGGCTTTGTTCTGAAGTAAATGAAAAAAAAAAAAAAAAACCTGATTAAACTCTTGAACATGGCATAAAATTTTTTTTAAAGAATGCGTTCAAGGATTCTTCTCCTTTTCTTCAGTGTCATTAATGTTAAAAGGAAAGCCACTGTCTTGTTGAAGCAAACAGCTTGACTTTAGAATTAAGCACTAGCACACTTAGACAAACAGAAGAGCAGGGGCTCGAAGCCAGCTGTTGAGGAGCATCCCTGCTGTCTTAAGAAGCTTTTTCCCCATAGTGCCTATAGTTTCCAAAGAAACTGAACTTCCTAACTGTGTTAACTTCACTTCATTGGAACACTACAGCTGAGTGAGAATGTGCAGAAGATGTCAATGGAAGAGAATGTTGTGCTAAGATAATGGCCTCCTGCTGCTGCCTGAATGCTGAGATGAGGTTGAGGTGTTTCTCGAGGCCAACTTCATGGAGTCACTCAATTTAGTGACTTAATTATATTCCACCAATTACTGATGGTGACTTACTCACCCTTGTAGGGAGTATATGCATAGCAGAGTGAAGGTGACTTATTACTCCCTTCTGTAAGTGCTTTAAGGAAGAAAGCACCCTTGTGTTTCAATCAATCAGAAGCCAGTTTACCTAGAAGTACTAGCCTTTTTTTTTCTTTGCTTTGAAAAAAAAGTTACATTTTACTGATAGAATTAAGGCTGGTTCACTCCTAGGGGAAATAAATTCAGTATTAATTTACTGGGGTTAAAACTCTTGCAGCCATCCAGATTAAGTGAAGACTCTAGAAGCAGTGGAAGCCCCTGGCTGGGAGGTTGGCTACAGAGGGATAGCCTGGTCCTACCAGGGCATCTCCCAGGCTTAGCAACAGGCGAGCAACGGTCTTGGTGTCTCAGGTGAGAGATAGGCCCGAGGTGGCTCTGCCCTGCACCATCTCTGTTCTCCTCTATAAAGTCCTCTGTTGTCTAACAGACTCCTGCCTATGGCAGTGGGGTAAGACTGCACAGTTGCTGGTAGGTGAGTTTTAAGTCTTAATCTATGCATTCAGAGAAATATTTTTATATGCTTTGTGTAATTTATAACAAAAATTTTTTTTAGCTTTGTTAACTATGAATTCACCCCTCCTCTTCCACTGCGTATTTAAAGCATTCATTCACACTGCGTGTACACATTGACCGGAGAAGTTTTTCTTTATGCATTGCTGACTGTTCAAACATAACAAATGTTATTAAAATTAGATATTAACTGACCGAGCCCATATTCTTTCATTCTGGCCTCCTAAATAGCACTAGACTGCTAGTTGGAGGGGACTCAGAGGGACAGGCTCTGGAGGAAGAAGCTCTGGACCCGTTTGTCACGTGGGCCACCACCATCCTGCTGCTGCTCACACCCTGTCACTGGCACCTGAAGACATACTTTGTGTGGTGTCTTTCCTCCCAGTTCATAGCAGTTAGCTTCATTTCCACTGAGAAGCTGAGCCAGCTAGATGGAGGTCATCCCCTATTAACCACATGTTCTGGTTATCCTATTTCCTTTATACAACTGAGCCTCTCCTTTGGGCTGTTGGCTCCTGTCAGGGCTGTGATGAGCACAGAAGCAAACTCCCAAGACAGAAGAGGAAATACAGCCTTACACCTTCAGATCTTTAGCTGAGAACGATGCTGAATAAATCTGTGTTTCTGTTGTTGTAGGGCAGCCAGAGCCTCACAAAGCAGACTTTATGCCAGATTGGCCTAATAGATCAGCATAGCAGAGACCTTGTCTTAGCACCAAGGAGAGGCAGCATAATTTGGGCATTTGTGCTTTCATACTTGCTTTATCACTAGGATGGACGTCTCCTTCCATATGCTTATAAACATCCTGGGCAGAAACAGCCTGCCAAAAAAAAAAACAAAAAATGTGATTAACCTTTAACAAATGGTCCTGCAGCGCAGGCTGACCCAGAGCATATAGAAAAAGCAGATCAAAGGAGCCATCTCCACACTTATTGCTAACCATTTAGGGTGGGGGGAAAAACACCCACAGACAAGTCACATCATCCCAAGAATCAGGCATAGGAAATGACAGAGACCCGAAAACTTAGTGAGATAACAAAGGGAAGAGATCCATTCCAAATCAAACAGGTCTTGTGCCAGGTGGGTTGTGACCTGCAGAAAATGAACCCTCCGTTGGTCACCCACGAATGCACATTTAATTGACCCCCTCACATCTCCCTTACCAGCCAGGGAGGTGGTGGCCTCTGAGCTCGCATACTCAGCTTCCACTAGGCTGAGGAAGATGAATGACTGGGAGGCTGCAGTGGTTGTGGGGACTGTCTGGAATAGACTTGTAAAGGAGTGAGGAGATAAAGCACCATGTACTTCTGAGCCCCTAGAGAAACCGGCTTCGTGATCTGGAGGGTGACACAGACGTGGAGGTGTTCACAACAGCTTTCCCGCGAGGCCTTAGGTCAGATTTCAGGGGCTTTATTTCTCACCTTTTTATACTGTCCACACAGAGCAGGAACTATGGCAATTACCCAGTGAATTTTAGTTGTGAAGACACTATTTCCAGCAAAAAGCTTTTGGGGCCAAAGTTTTCAGATAGCTGCAGCTATGCAGACGGATGTAAAGTCCACCTCCGTGTCTCCCCCTTCCTGCCTCCCCCAAACATCCTAACCCCAAACCTTGTGCACAGGTGGAGAAAGGCTACATAGGAGTGTAGATATTGTTGAGCACATCACTTTATTCATCAGTGTTCCATTTTTAATGCATTCTGGCCAGCACCCGCACGTACAGAACTCAGTTCTTAAGGATGGCCTGGCCTGGCAGTCTCCTGTTCCAGGACGAAAAGTTTTATTTAAAAAAATACTTCAGAATAGAAAACATGAAAAAAAAATCATAACTGGGAGGGAGGTCATTCCATAAAATGATTGAGAACAATGCAGTGTGGAAATAATACTCGACTGGGAATCAGGAGACCCAAGGACTAGCCAGGGCTCTGCCTCAAACTAACTGTGACCTCAGTACATCATTCACCTGTTGGGCCTCACTTCCTCATCTAAAGCATTTAGCACAGTTATACTATGAGGCACTTTACAGGGGCAAAATCTAACAACTGCCCCCAACGTTTGTCCTCAAGTCCATTCTGCAGACATATTTGGTGTCATTTCTCTTCCTGGTGAAAACCAGGGATGGCCAGGAGGAAATCCCGGGGATATATTTTAGGCAAGTCCAGCATCTTTGGCCATCCCATAGAAGATGCCTCTAGCTGCGATGAGGTTGGCTGGAGAATCAAATTCAGCTATTGTCCCTTTGTCCAGGACCAGGACCCTAGTCAAAGAAGAGAAATGATCAGGTCTCCATCAGCTCGGACCTGGCCACACAGTCCAACCTTGCCCTTCTGGAGACTGCTCAGGACCCGGAGTGATATGCCAACCCACCTACTTCAGTCAACCCACCCAACACAGCCACGTGTGGACGCTTGCGAGGCTGGTTATTTTAGCTGCTCCCTTTGCTCTACCGGCAAATGAGGCGGTTTCTGGGATCAAACACAGGGGCCTATTCATCTCTGCTAGTCGGGGCTCCAAAAACCTTCCCTAATGAGCCCTTCCCTTCTCTGGGGTCACAGGGCTTGAGGCGGGCTGTGCACAGGGAGCCACCAGCCTGCGCGCTGGGGCCCTGCACGCTTCCATCTGCTTTGTGCCAGCTCACAAAGGCACGGCGGGAAACCGGGCTGCAGCAAGGCCTGACATTGGAATCTGGGGCTGTGCCTGCCAATCTGGCTGCCACTGACGGTGGATCCCTGCCCTCCACAGTCAGGCTTGGGCCTGCGATTAGAAACTCCTACCAACCAAACACAGGGTACACTTGGTGCAGGGCTAACACACTGGCTCCACATGGTAGGGCAGGAGGGGCAAGGCCCTGGGTCCAGACCAGGGGGAGGCCTGGACCGTCCTGTCTAATTCCCACCTCCTGAGCTCCCAGAAACGTGTCAGGGAGGAGGTTTCTGTGGACATCCCTGCCCAGCCCCTGCCCAAATTAGAGCCCAGGAGACTGCCTTTTTCCTCCCCCCACCTCCCACCTCCATCCCCAGAAAACTCTTCAGTGGCAATGAGAATATTGCTCTTAGGGTTAGGACCGAAAACATTACCATAGTCCTCAAAGGCCACCATAGGGCCTGTCCCCCGCTCCCCCTCATCTTGGTTCTACTGTCCCTTTGCCCTCTGCACTCCAGCCTCGTGCCCTCCTGCTTCAGGGCCTTCACATGTGTTGTATCTGCTGTCTGAAAATTTCAGCTCCGTCTCTACCCCCACCCCCAACTCCTACTTATCCTTTGGAGCCCGGCTGGTGCTTCACATCCTCAGGAGAACCTCCCCTGGCTGCCCTGTGTGGTCAGCTTCCTCTGGCCTACATGCACATGGACCTCTGCGCTTCCCTGCAGGCTCTGACTGCACATGCAGTAGCATGATTATTTGATCATTTCTGCCTCCCCCATTAGAATGAATGAACGCCCAGCCTCTGAGGTCAGTCTGAGCCTCACTCTCAGGGCTGCTGGTGAATGAACCATTTTCAGTTAGGCCTGAGAACAGGTCCTCTCTGCCCTGGCCCTCTCCCTGGTCTGGACCCAGGGCCTAGTGCCTCCTGCCCAGCCTCCCTTCTCCCGGTGGGGTCCTGGGGGCCTGGATGAGAGTGTGTGTGTTGAGGGGGTGGTGAGCTTAGATCCCAAGGTCGTGCTAGCCATATGGGTTCACTTCTGAGAGAGGGGCAAGGTCTGACCCTTTACCCTGCCCACGGCGCCCTCCTTCCTCTCTCTACAGATGTTTACTGAATGAATGATGGCCCACTGATGCGTTCCCACCATACTCCTTCCACACAGACTTGCTCAAGCTTTCCACCATCTCTCCCCTCAGAGTTCCCACCCCCTCATGTATCTAAGGGGGTCAGCCTATCAGTCCGCTTTTCATGAGCCTTCTGAGCCCTCTAGACCCCCCTCAGCTTCCAGCACCACTTCTTGGCATTTGACACAATGAGGGAACAGCTCACAATTTTTCCTTTTGGCTGAGTGGCCTGCCTCCCCAAGGAAGCCAGACGATTCCGATTCCGAGGGCAAGACCCCTTCCCTAATCCTTTCAGAGTCTTACAGCAAGGCAAGAGGTGAGGGGCTGGGGGGAGGAAATCGCATTTCCCAGGACCACCTGCACTTTACACACATTATTTCATTGACTCCTTACAGCAACCCTGAGAGATGTGATCATTTCCATTTGAAACGGAGGCTCAAAAAGGTTTTGTGCATTGCCCCTGGTCATGCAGCAGCTGGCAGCTGAGCTGGGCCTGGGTCTCAGGCTGTTTGGCTCCAGATCCGTGCACTCCCTACTGCAAGGCATCAGCTTCTGATGGTGCGGCCAGGAAACACATGCTGGGTCACAGGCACCAATGCAGGGACCCAGGCACCACACACCTTCCCCAAGCTGCTTCCTTCTCTATGGAACGGTATGATTATATCCATCTCATGGTGTGGTAAAAAACCAAAAACATTGCCGTCAAGTAGATTCTGACTCATAGTGACCCTGCAGGACAGAGTAGAACTGCCCCATAGGGTTTCCAAGGCCCTGGTGGCACAGTGGTTAAATGCTTGGCTGCTAACCAAAAGGTCAGTGGTTTGAACCCACCAGCTGCTCCGTGGGAGAAAGATGTGGCAGTCTGCTTCTATGAAGATTTACAGCCTTGGAAACCCATGGACAATTCTACTCTGTCCTATGGGGTTGCTATTATAGTAGGAATCGACCCACGGCAATGGGTTAATCTTTACAGAAGCAGACTGCCACATCTTTCTCCTGCAGAGCAGCTAGTGGGTTCAAACTACCTACCTTTTGGTTAGCAGCCAAGCACTTAACCACTATGCCACCAGGGCTCCTATTCACAGGCTCCTATTCATCATTGCAAATGCAATGATGGTGGTAGGAGCTCTCTGTAACTAGGTGCTCAGGAAATGTTGGGATTCAGCATGAAGATCGTATCATTAATAGGAGGCAGAATGGTGGTGGCCTGTGCGTGATTCACAATGCCTGGGGGGCCCCAATGTGCCCCTTCCCCACACGATGGTAACCCCAAAGTATCTCCTTTACCCCAAGAAAACAGCACTGCCCGCCCCCACAACCATGCCCTGGTAACTCCACTCTCTCCAGCCTCTAATCCGTAACTCAGGAAATCCCACTCTGTCCCCCATGCCCTAGACAACCCGATGAGGTCTCCCCTGCCCAGATAACCCTAATCTGTCCTGCTCCTTCCCCGTGCCCCAGGCAACCCCACCAGATCCCCCCTTGTTTGGTGCCCAAGCTCCACCTAGTGTAGTCCATGATGGTGTTGAGCCGGTGCGCGATGGTCAGCACTGTGCAGCTCTCAAACTGGGTGCGGATGGTGGCCTGGATGAGGTCATCAGTCTCCAGATCAACGGCGGCCGTGGCCTCGTCTAAAACTAGGATGCGGCTCTTGCGGAGCAGGGCTCGGGCCAGGCACATAAGTTGCCGCTGGCCAACGCTGGAAATGGAGAAGGCAGGCATCTGCAGCCTGGAGCCGCCGACCTGCCTCCAGGCCTTGCTCCCTGACCCGATTTTGTCTCCACTCCTTCCCCAGGGCTCAGGTCTGGCTTCCTGTATAACCTCTCCCATTTATGCCACAGCCTAGCCCTCCCTGGAACCCAGACATGAGGTCTGGACACCACAGGGATGATGAGGGGCTCGGGGGTAGAACCAGTGTTCTGTGACACTGTGAAATCCCCCAGTCTATTTTCGGGAACTTCAGCCTCCGCTTTCTTTGCTTTTCCCCCATCCTTCCTCTTCCACTGGTGCCATGTTTCTCTGTTTCTCCCTATCAGCTATTTATACCTTTGTAAGAACATGCTGGAGCCCTGGGGGCGCAGTGTTTAAGAGCTTGGCTGCTAACCAAAATGTTGGCAGTTCAAATCCACCAGCCGCTCCTTGGAAACCAGTTCTAGTCTGTCCTATAGGGCCACTATAAGTCATAATTGACTTGACGGAAATGAGTTTGGTTTGGTTTGGTTTTGGTTAAGAACATTCTTAAGAAGCCCTTGTGGCACAAACGGTTAAGTGCTCGGCTGCTAACTGAAAGGTTGGAGGTTCGAACCTACCCAGCTGCTCCGAGGAAGAAGTACCTGGTGATCTGATTCCATAAAGATTAGAGCCAAGAAAACCCTATGGGGCAGTTCTGCTCTGTCACATGGGGTCACTATGAGCCAAAATTGACTCGACAGCACTTAACAACAACATGAACTCGCTTAAGTGGCTCTTCCTGGGCACCTGCATGTACGCCTCACCGTGCCATCTTGCTGTGCCTCATATACAGTCCGGTCACCTCCCGCTGCCATGAAGAACAGAGGTCAGAGCTCTATTCCCAAAGAATGGGTACGGCAGGGAAGAATCCAGGGACTTCCCGTGTCTGGTCACTGGGGAGGTGGAGGACAGCCAGGATTCGTACCTTTAACCTCCCATCTTGGAAGCCAGAGCCAGTGGACAAAGCGAGGCTGTGTTCCCAACCCCAGAGGCCACCACACTCCCACACTCAAGGATAAATACCTCAGCTCTACCCAAAGGGGTGAGTCAGCACCGCAGGAGCGAAGGCCAGGCTTGCTCTCTGGCCCATTCCCGCAACTAATGAAGGTTTTGGCAACAGAATGAGCCACCACATAGAATTCGGAGCTGATTTACGGTGGGACTGGCACAGGATACTGGGTATACTTGAAGTGGCTACAAGCTCTGTGAGGGAGGAGGGGAGACAATTTCTGTCTCAGAGCCTGTCGTGTGTGTGCGTGTGTGTGCGTGTGTGTGTGTGCGTGTGTGCGTGTGTGCGTGTGTGCGTGTGTGTGGGGGTGGGGTGGGGGGGGGAATGCTCTAGGGGAGGTGCTGATAGCAAGCGGCTATAGGAGACTGGGGAGAAACAGCTATGGGGGGTGGGGTTTGGAGAGCCCATGCTTGACCACCAGCCACCTCCAATGTGATTTTGTAACCAAAAGCCAGTTAACATGCACATTGGGCCTTGAAGGGCCGCCTGGGGTGGTGGGGAGTCCTACCCATTGTATGGGTGAGGGAGGTGGCTGAGATGCAGGAAGGAAAGGTTTGGGGTAAAAGCCCTCTCTTTCCTGAGACTCTGCCCTGCCTCTTTGCTAGCTGAGCAACTGTGGGCAGCTAACCTGTTATTTCTGAGCCTCACTTTGGGCCCACAGGACTGTAGTAAGCCTTAAACGGGACAGTGGAGGCCACCGTGCTTTAACATTCATTGTTAAGTGCTGAGAAGATGTAAAGGGTTATTTAGTTCGTGCTGTTGTTGCTTTTTGAGGTCTGGGGAGGTTCCAGGGGCATAGAAAGACTACGAAAATAAGAAGAAGAAAATAGCTAGCATGTAACCAGGCTAAGTGTTTTCCATTTCATCACAATGTCCCTGTGACTGCTGCCCACTATGATAGCCACCAGCCACACGTGGCTACTGAGCACCTGAAATATGGCTAGTCCAGACTGAGACGTGCTGCAAGGGTAAAACAGACACTGGATTCCAAACTCAGTACGAAAAAAAAAGGTAAAATATCTCGAATAATTTTTGTATCGATTACATGTTGAAATGAGCAAAAACCCGTTGGGTTCTGACTCATATCGACTCATACAGGACAAAGCAGAAATGCCCCATAGGGTTTCCAAGGCTGTAATCTTTATGGAAGCAGACTGCCACATCTTTCTCCTGTGGAGTGGCTGGTGGGTTCGAACCACCTACCTCTTGGTTAGCAGCTCAGCACTTAACCACTGTGCCACCAGGGCTCCTTGAAATAAGCATAGTTTAGATATATTGGGCTAAATAAAATAGACTTTATAATCTATTTAAATTTAAAATATATTTAAATATACTATAAGATATTTGTATTATTTAAATATATTATAATATAGTTATATATACAATACAATTTCGCCTGTTTCTTTTTACTTTTTTTTAATGTGGCTACTAGAAAAATTTTAATTACACATATGTGGCTCACATTATATTGTTTTTGGACAATCTGGTGTTAAGACGCATGGATTGTTATTATCCCCATTTTACAGTGCAGGAAAAGGAGGCACAGAGAGGTTATGCAACTTGCCCCAAATCACACAGCTAACGCAGGTCTGGGCATCTCAAGGCTTTAGACTCAATAAGACTCATCTCAAAGGGCCTCCTGGCCCCTCCCTGATGCACAGCCCAAAGGCTGAGGATATAAAACCAGGGGCGTCAGGCCAGCTTTGGAGGGGAGCCAAGAAAAGCCTGGAGAGCACATTTCACCTACACCTCAACTACAGGCCAGGTGGCATCCATCTTGGAAAATGTTTGTGATTTTCCTAAAGCACTGAGCTAGTCCTTCCTCTTACCTTCTCCACAGGTTCAGCCCAGAGCCCCCTCCCCAGGCCAAGCATAGCAGTTACAACCTCACATGGACATAGGGCTTTAGAATCTCCCAGGCCTGGTTCAAATCCCAGGCATGCCTTCTCTGTGTGACTTTGGCCGAGCCCCTTACCCTTGCTGAGCCTCAGGTTCCTCATCTGTGAAATGAGATCATGGACCACCTCTGGGACTTGTGTGGGGAGTCAGTGAGGTAGTGCCCAGTGTCTGGCACATAGAACATGCTCAGTACAAAATAACACCCCGTACATGCACCCTGCTGCAATTCACGGTGGTTCCCCGTGACCTGCCGCCTCCCTTCTGTTACCTGAGATTCTCCCCGCCCTCAGAGCACTGGAAGTCAAGGCCTGCGGGCTGGGAGCTCACAAATGTGTGCAGGTGGGACAGCTCCAAGGCCTGCCACATGTCTTCCTCTGAGTAATTGCCATAGGGGTCCAGGTTCATACGCAGGGTCCCCGAGAACAGGATGGGGTCCTGGGGACACAACAAGGCCTCAGAAGGAGGCAGCTCAGGCCTCAGGAGCCATGGGTCCCGGGGTCAGGGTAAAAGAGAGGGATTGAGGTTGCCCTTTTCCACTCTGTCCCAAGCCCTCCGGGACAAAGGCAGTGGCCAAGCAGATAGAAAAATTGCCTGCGGGGAAGTGATAAACCTCAGCTTTGCCAGTCACAAAATCCTCCCCTAAAGCAGGAACCAGGGCCATTGGTCGGTGTGGCCAGTGCATGACAGGCTTGTACCTGAGGGATGATGGTCAGCTGAGAACGCAAGTCATGGAGCCCAATGTCCGCCACATTGAGACCGTCAACGCGGATTTCACCCTCTGCTGCCTCCAGGATGCGGAACAGGCAGAGGGTCATGGACGACTTGCCGGCCCCTGTGCGCCCCACGATTCCCACCTGCAGTGGGTGGGCGAGGGGGCTGTCAGGGGGAGACTGATGAGTCAGAAGGGGCTGGGAGAGCTCAGGGAGGAGGGGGTGTCCCCGGGACTCCCCTAAAGAGGCTGAGCAGAGGTCTGAGCTGGACACCTGCTCTCTCAAAGACCCATGCTCCCCAGAAGGGCTGTGGCAGCACCCCCCACCGCCAGCACAAGTACGCACCCAGTCATCCCACCTCATGGTACCTTCTCGCCACCATGCACGCACAGACTCAGGTTCTTCAGTACCAGGTCCAGGCCTGGCCGGTAGCGCACGGAGTAGTTCCGGAACTCCACCTTACCCTGTGGGGGCCAGCCCTTTGGAGGGCGGCTGCCCTCCACCACCCAAGGGGCCTGGATGAGAGAGGTTCACAATTAAGGCAGCACCCCTTCCCCAGCCTGATCCTCTCCCACTTTCAGCCTCCCTCTCCCCTGAACCCCCTCAATCCTCACCCATTGTGGTCCCTGGGGGAGGGCCCCTGGCTCCCCATGGTCCAACATTGCAGCTTAACAAATTCTTTATCCCTCAGTGGCTGATCTATAGTGTCCCTCTTCTGCCCCCCTACTTCCTCCTTGTGCCCTGTATTCCTGAGGTGCCTTGTCCCTGCCTGTCCCAGTGCCCCCTTTTGCCCCCTTTCTCCATTCATTGAGTGGCTACTCTGTGCAGGCCCTGGTGACACAATGGGGAACAAGCCACAGTGGTTGCCCCCGTGAGCCTCATACTTTAGTAGGAGGAGACACACAGTCAACAAATAAGCACATTTCTAGGCGATGATACACAGGGATGAGGAGTGCTTGGTGCTGCTGCTATATACAGGGTGATCAGGGAAAACTTCCTGGAGGAAGTGACATTTGAGTCAAATCCTGATGTAGGTGAAGGCACAAGTCAAGTGGATATCTGGAGGAAGGGCATTCTAGGCAGAGGGAACAGCCAGTGTAAATGCCCCTGGGTGTGCTCTGGAGCTCATCTAGAAAGGCAAGAGGGAGAGAATTTAGGTAGCAGGTGGCCCCATCATGTAGGGCCTTGAAGGTCATTTGAAGGACTATGGTTTTTTCACTGTGAGTAAGATGCAGAGCCATTAGAGGGCTGTGCACAGAGGAGTAATGAGATTCAGTGTGTTTTTAAAGGATTCCTTTGGCTGCTATGAGGAAGAAAGACTGGGGGTGGGGAGGGAGGGTGGAAACAGGGAGATTAGTTAAAAAGCTGTCACAATAATCTGGGCATGAGATGATGGTGGCTTCCAGGCAGAATCAGCTACATAATTTGCAGGGCCCAGTGCAAAATGAAAAAATTATGAAGAATTATAAGGTGGCAATAGCAAAGCATTAAACCAAGCATGAGGTCTTTCTAAGCCACGAGGCCCTTCTAAGAGTGGGGTCCTGCGTGACAGCACAGGTCACATAGTCATGAGCCAGCCCTGCCTTGAGGCAGGGGAAGCCAGAGTACTGGCAGTCAGAAAGCAAATCAAGCGCAGACCGCTGTCTCTCGAGGAGGTGTTCAAGAAAAGAGAGGGTAGCAGGGTGGAGGGTGGAATATTTTAGGACAGGGAGAGAGGATCACGTGTATAGACAGGGAACAACTGGAATGGTAGATATGAAGAATGGGGGCGGTAGTGGTTCAGTGACAGAACTCTCACCTTCCATGCAGGAGATCTGGGTTCAATTCCCAGCCAATGCACCCCATGTGCAGCCACCACTCATCTGTTAGCGGAAGCTTGTGTGTTGCTACGATGCTGAACAGATTTCAGTAGAGTTTCCAGATTAAGACAGACTAGGGACTAGGAAGAAAGGTCTGGAAATCTACTTTCAAAAAAAACTGCCAATGAAAACCCTATGGAGCATTACTGAACATTTTGATCAAAGATTCTATAGAAAAATCCTGATCAAAACAGGGGAAATGCAGAATGGAATTTCAAAATCTCATGGAATTTAGACTTTCAGGAGTCATGGAGCCTGGATGAATCCCCAAAACTACTGCTCTGAGGTAATCTTTAAACCTTAAACCAAAAATACCCCCTGCAAATATTCCCTTTAAACTAAACAATAAAAACCAAAAAACCCAAATCCATTGCTGTCGAGTTGATTCCGACTCATAGCGACCCTATATGACAGAGTAGAACTGCCCTATAGAGTTTCCAAGGAGTGGCTGGTGAATGTGAACTGCTGACCTTTTGGTTAGCAGCCATAGCACTTAACCACCACACCACCGGGGTTTCCAAACTGAGCAATAGTTTAACTTAATTAGTAGAGAACGCCTGCCTTGAGCATTGTGCTCTTTTAAGCATTATTTATATAGGATCGAACTGACAACAGCAACTCGAAAGATTAGATAGGAAACTTAGGGGGCAGTGAGTGTATGTTAATGTGGAGAAACAATCTGGAAAAGGAGGGTGAGAATGTTCGCACAACTTGAAGAATGTAATCAATGTCACTAAATTATACGTGTAGAAATTGTTGAATTGGTGTATGTTCTGCTGTGTATATTCTCAACAACAACAACAACAAATTAACTAATTAAAAAAAAAAGAAAGAAAACCCATGGAGCAGAATGGTCCAATCCCGTCGTGCATGGGGTTGCCATGAGTTGGGGGACTGACTGGACAGCAGCTAACAACAACAGCAGACATGAGGAGAGAGAATATGAAGATCCAGAGAGGGGACGGGGATGATGCGCGATGTCTGGGTAGATGGAGCCCACAGGGGTGGAGAGGCCAGACCAGGAGGAATGGTGGGCTGGGAGAGCGTGTGATGGAGGCCAGCTGATAGGGCAAGAGCAAGGGTCTAGAATCCATGAGACAGAGAGGTCCAAGAAGGAGGAAAGGGTCCTGTCATCTGAATGTGACTGAGAGGTTGAGTTAGGTAAGGACAGAAAAGTGTCCCCTAGACTTGGGACCTGGGAAGTCATTGGAAAGCATGTTCAGTGGAGTGCTGGGAACAGATGCGGGAAAGGGAAATGAGGACGTGGAGAGAACGGAACACATGCTGTTCCCTCTGCTGGAATGCCCTTCCCCCAGATATCCACTTGGCTTGTGCCCTCACCTCTGTCAGGATTTGACTCAAATATCATCTCCTCCAGGAAGTCTTCCCTGACCACCCTGTATAGAGCAGCAGGATCAAGCACTTCTCATCCCTGACTATCATCATCTCCTTATGTAATAGAGAAGTGTTTATTTGTTGATTGTGTGTCTCCCCCTACTAGAGTATGAGGCTCATGGGGAAATGAGGATGTAGATTCTTCATATCTAGCATTCCAATTTTTAAGCAAGCTTTATGATGAAGGAGAGCAGAGGATGGGGCAGTAGCTGGAGTGGAACGTAGGGGAAAGGGAGGATTTGTTTAGTTTGTCTAGAATGAGGGCTATGATAGCATATGTTTGCTGGTGGATGGGAATCACCCAACAGAGGAGGCAAGGCTCATGATACAGGAGATCAAGGGCATAACTGAGGAAGTCAAGTCCTTAAGTGGCCATGAGAAGAAGCAGAGGGCCTGGATTTTGAAACAAGGAGGAACATTTCCTGTTAAAACAGGGAGATGCAGGCAGGCTTGAAGGTCTGGAGGCAGAAAGGTTACAAGAATTCACATCTTAAGACTTATTTTCTCATTAAGCAGCAAGCAAGGTCCACAGCTGAACACAAGGGAGAAGGAGATGTGAGGGTTTGAGGAGAGAGAATGTTTGGAACAGCTCTCTCTGAAAGTGGAACGCATGCTTATTGAGAAGGCCAAGTGGGAATGCCCAGCGGTGATGTACGGTTATAATATTTGAAGTAAAATCAGTGATTTTCTCCAGCAATGCTTCAGCTGCTCAGTGCAAGCATGAAGCGGGTAGACAGATGGACTCACCTGGGATGGGGTTTTGTAGGTGAACACAACTGGGAGAGAGAAGGGCAAGTGAGTTGAGAGCATTTGTGTTGATGGAACTTAGAATCTAGGCTAGACAGGAGGGAGGTGAAGCCAGGAGGGCCTGCCGGACAGAGACAAAGGCGGTGTCCCAGGACTGGGGCTCTCCATGAGGACAAAGTACTGTTTAACAGTGTTTGACCTGGGACACGTGGGCTGGGAGGGATGGGAAAAGGTGGTCAAAAAGTGGGTCCTCTGACGTTGAGATCTCAGAGATGGTGCAGCTTCTGGCATGAAGAGGTCTAGGGTGCGGCTATGGGAGGGTTGGGTGCAGAAAGGTAGAGGACAACTCCCTTTTTCCTGACAAAGGCCATGCTTTCCCACCTCTGCTCCTTCAACCAGTCTCATCTCTTTGGTTGGAATGCTCACCTTCCCACTGCCTCACCCCTCCCCACCCCAATATCTTTCTTCCCCCTCCTTTAAAAAAAAAATTTATTGTGTTTTAGGTGAAAGTTTACAAGCAAATTAGTTTCTCATTAAACAATTAATATACAAATTGTTTTGTGACATTGGCTGCCAATCCCATGATGTGTCAACACTCTCCCCCAACATCTTACTTAGTCTATCAAAACCCACCTATCCTTCAAGTCTCAGCTGGCCTTCCACCCCAGTTGAATGATCCCCCCTTATCTGCCCTCTTTGGGTGCACCAACCCTGAGCTCTTGCCATCCACTGCAGAGCCATCAGTATGTCTTACCTCTCCCACTGTATCAGAATCTGCTTGAGGGCAGACTCTGTCTTGCTCAGCTCTGAACCCTTTACAGCTCTGAGCATAGAGCTGGACCTCTGGTTGATGTTCAATAAGCTTTGAGTAGATGGATGGACAAATGAATGAATAAATGAATGAAGAGCTAACTGAATAGCTGGCCTTGGGGTGTAAGAATGGCGGGCCACCAAGTCCCCTTCTCCAGGTATTCCTGATTCATCCCTGGGCTCATCCTGGTACCTACCTCAGTCTCTGTCTTGCTGTACTCTTTGACTCTCTCCACAGCCACAATATTAGACTCCGTGTCTGACATCATTCGTACCATCCAGTTCAGAGCAAATGTCACCTGGTCAAAGGAACTGGGTCATATGGAAGGAGAGTCCCTTCCCCGCCACAAGGTTTTGGGAAGAGCTCAGACCCCTTTGTTCATGCTCTTATCCCATCTATGATCCAGGGGGGCCTGGATGAGCTCACAGATATGCCACCTCGTGCTCTAACACAACTATGCACCAGGTAGTGATGACCCAGACTTAACCAAGGACCACCTAGCCCAGTGTTTCTCAATCTTTAATATGCATAGGACTTCCCTGGGAATCTTGTTAAAATCCAGCTTGTGATTCAGTAGGTAGGGTGAGACCTGAGATTCTGCATTTCTAACAAGTTCCCAGTTGATGGTGATGGTGACACAGCTGGTCCATGGACCACACTTTAAATATCAAGGAGTCTTGATAGAAATACAGAATCCCAAGCCCCACTCCAGGCCTACTGAATCAGAATCTGAATATTACTAAGATCCCTGGGTGATTCATATAAACATTAAGTTAGAGAATACTGGTCTGTCTGGATTGGACTGCTCTTTATTTACTAAACCACTCAAGACTCCAGCCACCTGAGACACTGAAAATGTGATCTGCTTTGCAAAAATTTCATTTGCAGGACTTCATTCTTTAACAACCTAAACTGGTAGCCGCATATAATCTGCCTGACCTCCCGCACAGACCTGTGTCCCCAGGTCACCTTCTCTGAACTTTCTCTGCATGTATGTGAACACGAGAGGTATTTCAGCCCTATACTCCCCTCTTCCAGGACCTCGGCTGGGTGACCTTCTATACCTTGCCCATAGCCAGGTCACGTTCTGTTTGCTCTTTGAGGCCAAGTTCAAGACAATTTCTCCAACACCCCAAGCAGAGAAACTCCTCTAGGTTCTCACAGCATTTTGTTCCTCCCTCCACAAAGTCCTACATATCCTGCACTGTGATCCCTGCTGGTGTCAGTGTCTCCCCACACTCAACTGTGAGCTCCTTGGGAGCAGAACCTGGGGCTGGTCCCCACAATAGGCAGAGAGAGGCACTCAGGAAATGCTTGTGAAGCCTGTGTGGACTCTGCCCCAGTGGTCGTCCTGCCGTGGGGCCCAGGCCCCTCCGTACCTGCAGGGCATAGGACACAGAAAGGCCCACCAGCCCGGGACTCAGGCTGCTTCTCCCAGTTACGGCGAACAATGCAGCGAAGAGCACAACACAGGTCCCCACGAAGTCCACTCGGATTCCCAGCCACCTGTGGGAGACCAGACAAGAAGGACATGGGGCAGGCGCAGGAAGGAGGCAGTGCTCTGTTCAGGGGGAAGGAGGGATAGGACCCAGAACACCAGGGTCCCCACAGCAAAGACCCTGGTGGGAGCTGTTGGCGGAGCCGGGGTGGGGGAGGAGGCTTCTGACCGGTTGGAGATGATGTACGCATAGCAGCCCCTCTGGTTGATGTCCACCTTAGTATCATTGTTAGCCACAAAGTCCTGGCTGCGGCCATAGGCCCGGATGACGCTGGCACCAGTCACCGTCTCCGAAAACTGGGAGTAAATGGGTGAGCGAGTGACCGATTCCAGCCGCTTCAGTTGTCTCGAGGTGGCCACATAGAAGCGCTGACAGGCATGGGAGAAAGAGCTTGAGGTCAGGGCCATCGAACTCCCGATCCAGTCCTGCACATCCTTTGAACTCACCCATTTCCCCCGAGCCTCCTCCCAGCCAGCCCCACTCCCCCACCCCAAGATCTTGCTACCTCCCCCTGTTCTCAAGGACCTATGAATCAGGGTCCTAATTTGGCTCCATGAACTCATTCTGCCCTTTCCCTCTGTTCAGCTCTGCTCATTCTTCCAGGCTACTTTTTCCATGAAGTCTTTCTGATTCCCTGGTCAGAATGATCCCCTCACCCTCCGTGGGACAGAGGGTGACCTTGCTTGACCTCCTCAGTCAGTGAATATACCTACCTCCACTTAGGGGCCCTAGTAATGTGCTCACAGTTGAAGTTTTTGCAAAATTTGCAAAAATAAGATAATTTCATATTCTTTTCCTTAAAGAGCCCCTCCCTAGCATTGTTTAAACTTCGGCCCCATAAAAACATTGTTCTGCCTCCAATTTCTGTCTTCTACTCTGCAGGCCCCTGCATCGCCTGATTAACTGCAGGACAGGTGCTCAGCGACTGTGAATGCCTTTTGCAGTTAGTTGTTGCTGAGTTAGCAACCCATATGTTAAAGACATACACGTGTCTATAAACACATACACATATACGTGTAGATATGTATAAAAAGTCATTGTCCCCGACTGTTAACAATGTTTTATTTAAAAATAGTCAACAGGAAGAAGTTCCAGGGCCAGTCACAGATGATACAATTTATATGACTATTTCCTTTTATCCTTGCAACAACCCTATGAGGTAGATTCTATGAATATCACTATTTTACAGGTGAGGAAAACGAGTTTCAAAGAGGTGAACTTAACTAACTACTGCCCCTGGCCTAAAGGTCATTGGTGCGAACCCACCAGCCTCCGCTGGAGAAGGATGTGGCAGTCTGATTCCGTACAGATTTCAGCCTAGGAAATTCTATGGGGCAGTTCCACTCTGTCCTATAGGGTCGCTACTAGTCGGAATCACTCGAAGGCAGTGGGTTTGGCCGCTTTTGCCCCTAATAAAATCCCGCTGCGAAGGTTGGGACTAAACCGCCCCACACTTCATCTCCTCTCACCGGCCCAAAAGACCGCCGCTCCCACCAACAACACCGCCCCAGAAGCCCACCCTCCCTCGGCCCACGCCCTCCAGGGCCACGCCCACCAGAGAGCCACGCCCCCAGAAGCCCACTCTCTCTGGCCACGCCCTCCCTCGGGCAACACCAGCTTGCGAGCCACACCTGCACCGAGATGTAGAGAGCAGCCAGAGGCAAGATGACCACGGCAAAGATCGGAGTGCTGGTCACGATGACCACAAGGGTGGAGACAGAGTTGAAGAAGGCACCAAGCAGCCTTTGGATGGTGGGGGCCAGGACCTCATCGATGACGAAGATGTCCTTGGAGAAGCGGTTGAGGATACGGCCCGAGGGTGTCGTGTCGAAGAAGGACTGTGGCGAGCGCATCTTGTTGTGCAGCAACGCCGCGTGCAACGATTTAGCCGCCTGGACACCGCCCATTGCCATCATGAAGGCCGACAGCATCACGAGGAGCGCTGGTGGGGGAGGCAGAAGGTGGGCTCGCTTACCTGGGCTAGGGGGGCGGGGATGGAGGGGCAGGTTCGGAGGCAGGGGGAAGGCTAGGCTGAGCTAGGGAGGCATTGGGGCAGGGCCATGGCTGTGATGGTGGAGGGAGGCTCAGAGGCAGGGGCATGATTCCAAGGACCCCGAAGCCCAGAGGTGAGGTAAGGACTGATGGAGTCTCTTCTGGCACGCCCCCCCACCCCCAGGCCAGTGCTTCCAACCCTCATTTCTATCCCAGATACACTGAAATCAGAACTACAGTTTAACGAGATCCTCAGCTGATTCTTATGTATAACAAATTTTGAGAACCACTGTTTTATTAGTGGAGCTCCGGTGGCCCAGTGGTTAAACGTTCGGCTGCTAACCAAAAGGTCAGCAGTTTGAATCCACCACCCACTCCTTGGAAACCTTATGGGGTAGTTCTACCCTGTCCTATAGGGTCGCTATGACTTGGAATCGACTCCATGACAATGGGTTTGGGTTTGTTTGTTTTTTTCTCTACTAGTATTTCTCAGAATTGGTCCCTAACCAGCAGCATTAGCATCACCTGAGAACGTGTTAGAAATGCAAATTCTCGTCAAGCATTAGAACCAGAACAAACTGAGTTGGTTCAAAGCCCTGCCCCAGGCTCACCTTGCAGCATTCCCAAGCCAGCATAGACTCCCAGCCTCCTGGAGGTGTTGTTCTGGCGGCTGTCCACCTCGGCCTCGTTGGTCCAGGCACTGAGCCACATGTTAGCCCCGATGGAGAATGCACTTTGACCCATGTTCAGAAGACAAATGAACAGCACGGTCCAGAGCCCCACAGCCTTGATGTAATCCCAGAACACGCTCATCTTCACCTGAAGCCAGTGGGTGGGAGTAGAGGACTGCCATCAGCCCCAGGATTCCTGGGGTGCGTCCACCCTCTCCAGCCCTCCTCACCATCCCACTCACAACGCCCATCTCTGCCTTCTCCTCCTGGACCAGTGTCCCTTTCGCCTTCTTCTCTGTCGCCTGCACCACCTTCTCTGCTGAGCCCAGGCGTCTCCGGGACACATACCGCTCCGGGCTCTCCCCTTCTGAGGACATGGAGCTCAGCTGTCTGTGGAGGTAGCCAGTCAGGCCCGGAGGAGAGGCCTCCGACATACCCACAGCACAGAGTCCCAGGAGGAGGCTTCAGGCTGCAGCCAGAGGCCCAGGGTGTGAGTGTCAGGGAGAATGCTCACCTGCACCTCACCTGGATGGACCTGGGGAGCCTTGATGCAGCCTCCTGAGTGGGGTGGGGGGGAGCCTGGGAGCTATCAGGGGCTCACCTCATAAACTGCTTCTGGACCTCATACATGATGGGCTCATTATCTGTCAGGTCAGTGTGGCTGCTGAGTGTGTCTTCGATCAGCAGCACCTCTTCATCCTCTGCATTCTCCAAGACTTCAGAGGGGTGGGAGGAAGGAGACAGGTTGGCTAGCTCACCCTGTAAGCCCTTGGAATCCCCCATCCCCACTCCAATGAAGGGGCCTGAATGGACAAGCCTGAGAGAAGGTGAGAGGATTGAAAGGGCAGCAAGGAAGATAGGTTAGACAACAAGAAAAACTTCTCATCAGGGACAATGGAGAAAGGAACTCAAATGTAAGGGCTGGGAGCTTGGGTCTGGAGTCAAACTGGCCACGCTTAAATCTCACTTCCTTGCTGCCTGACCTTAGGCATGTTGCTTAGCATTTCCGAGCAGGAGTTTCCTCAGATATAAGATGGGGACAATAATCAACCTCATAGGGTCACGGTGAGGATTAAAGGAAACAATGTGTGCGGAGTGCTTAGCACTGGGTACATGGTGGCTGTTGTCAGGTGCTGTCAAGTTGGTTCAACTCATAGCAGCCTTATGTACAACAGAACGAAACACTGCCTCGTCCTGCGCCATTCTCATGATCATTGCTATGTTTGAGCTCATTTTTGCAATCATTGTGTCAATCCATCTCATCGGGGTCTCCCTCTTTTTTTGCCGACCCTCTACTTTACCAAGCATGATGTCTTTCTCCAACGATTGGTCCTCCTGATGACATGTCCAAAGTAAGTGAGACGAAGTCTCACCATCCTTGCTTCTAAGGAGCATTCTGGACGTACTACTACGTATACCAAAAAAACCAAACCCATTGCCGTCAAGTCGATTCCAACTCAGCAACCCTACAGGACAGAGTAGAACTGCCCCATAGGGTTTCCAAGGCTGTGATCTTTACAGAGGCAGACTGTCACATCTTTCTCCTGTGGAATGGCTGGTGGGTTCAAACCACTGACCTTCTGGTTAGCAGCTGAGTGCTTAACCACTGTACAACCAGGGCTCCCTACTACATATACCAAAAAAACCAAAAACCAAACCCATTGCCATCAAGTCGATTCTGACTCATAGTGACCCTATAGGACAGGGTAGAACTGCCCCATAGGGTTTCCAAGGAGCTGCTGGTGTATAATAAGAATATAATAAGAATTGCCCACCATTTGGTTAGCAGCCTGAGTTCTTAACCACTGCACCACCAGGGCTTCCTACTACATATAGCACTTAGTAATTGCTTTGTTAAGGAGCTCTAGTAGCTCAATGGTTAAGCACTTGACTGCTAACTGAAAAACTGGTAGTTTAAACCCACCCAGCGGCTCTGCAGGAGAAAGACCTATGGGGCAGTTCTACTTTGTCACATGGGGTCACTATGAGTCAAAAATTGACTCCACACACACAAGAACAACAACAAATGCTTTGTTAGCCGTATATATGGCTGTAGGAGAGAAGACCCAGGGAAGGGTTCGTGAGCTAGCCCAGAGTTTGGGGTTGGGGAGCTGAGGAAGCCCTGTGAGCCCAGAAACTTCGATATGTTCCCGAGGGCAGGGACTTCTTTATGCTTGTTCACGGCTATGTCTCTGTGCCAGAGCAGAACCTGGAACACAGTAATTGCTCAGTCAATATTTGTTGACAAATCACTTTACCAAGAACTTGAACAATTCATCTGTGAAACAACTCTGCTGTATAAGCTGGGCCTGGGCCCTTAGGCCCCTTTGCCTTATGGGAAAACTGAGGCTCCAAGGCCTGCGCTGTTGATCCAAGGTCCCCCAGTTAGGGAAGAGGAGGAGGCGGGACTCGACCTCTTGTGGTGTCTCACTGTCACACAGGCGGTCCCTGAGCCTCCCTGTTAACAGTGGGACAGTCCAGAGACACTCAGAGACAGGGGAGATGCTGGGAGGGCACAGGAATATGCGGGCCAAGGATGGCAGATACCGATCTTGCTGTCCGGGTGCCTCTCGTCCTTGTCGGGTGCATAGTTGTGGATGAACTCAGCAAAGGAGCCATTGCGTTGCAGCAGGGCCGGGTAGGAACCGGCCTCAGACACCTGCCCATCAGCTAGTACTATGACAAAGTCCATCTGGGGCAGGAAGCTGATTCCATGTGTCACCAGCACCCGCGTCTGAGGAGAAGGCAATAGTCTTCCCTTCTGCCCTCAGCATGCCCCCCCACCCCCCAGCACAGGCACGAGGCCATGGAGCGAGTGTGAGGTAACTGTGTGTCGGGGAGCATGGGCAGGCACACCAGGGCCTCACCCCGCACTCGCTGCAGCCTGCTCAGTGCCTCTGGGGCAGGCTTCCAGGTGTCCCTGCCAAGGGTGTCCCCTGCTGCCCTCCCCTACTACTGTTTCTCAGGCATCCCACACTTCCAGAGCTCCCCACCAGTTCTCTCCTAGGGCCCTCAATCTCAGCTTAGCCCCCTTAGCCTCCCACAGGCCTCACCTTGTGGGCCAGCACACCCTCTGGCCCGATGACTTGGTCAAAGATATGCCTGGCCACGTGGGAGTCCACAGCTGACAAGGGGTCATCCAGCAAAAAAATGTCAGCATCACTGTAAACAGCTCGGGCCAGACTGACCCGCTGCCGCTGGCCCCCGGACAGGTTAATGCCCTGGAGGGAGGAAGGGAGTGGGTACTGGGTGGGAGGGGGCCCAGACAGGCACAGGGCGGTCGAGGGCCCTGTCCACTGACATCAAGCAAGGCAGACTTCTGAATCACATTTCATATGCCCGATCCTGTCCCCTTGAAGCACACTTGGAGGGAGGGGTAGCGGCTGTCAGAGTGCTCCCAGGCAGGTGAGGGCAGCCTCCCTGCTCTGCTCCCCAACCCTGCCTGGCTGGTTTCCCTGTCTGCCACATTCATACTCTGGGAGGCTGGAAAGCCCCAGGAGTCTCTCAATAGGTCTGTTAATCTCCCATTGCCCATACAGTTTGCAAACGGCTTTCATAACAGTGTTCCCATTTGGTGCTCACATCAGTCCTTCCAGGGAGGTATCACTAGCCTCACTTTCTAGATGAAGAAATTAGAGCCCAAGATGTTAATAGCTTTGTCCGAGGTGCTGGGCCATTAAGGGAAGAAGCGAGAGGATGAGGACAGGAACTCAGGTCTGATGGCTCTGGTGTCAGCCCTAGAAATCATCCACCCTCAGCTTGTTCAGCCGCCAAAGGCGAGGTAAGCTCCCACCTTAAACTCATGTTGGAAAAACTGAGGCATGTAGAGGCAGGTCTGGGCCCAGAGGACAGACTCCAGAGGTAAAGCCTACTCCCTGCCACCAGCTTCCCTCATTCCCTCTGGAACCGGTCCCAGCTCTGTAGGGTCCCTGAGAAACTGAGCCCTGGGGAAAGCAGGTGGGGGGTGCGGGCTAGAGCTACTGGGGAGAAGCGGAGGGGCCCACCTGCAGCTGTGGTGGCTGAGGTATGTGAGCGTCCCTGAATTCGTACATTCAACCAGCAGTCGTTCTGGAGTGCCTTCTATGTTGTTATTGTGTGCTGTTGATTCCAGCTCATAGTGACCCCATAGGACAGAGTAGAACTGCCCCATAGAGTTTGATTGGTTCTAATCTTTATGGAAGTAAGTTGCCAGGTCTTTCTCCTGTGGAACTGCTGGTGGGTTTGAACCGCCAGCCTTTCAGTTAGCAGCCGAGTGCTTAACGATTGCGCCACGAGAGCTTTTTGCCTATTATGTGCTGGGCACTAAACTAGGCGTGTGTTTGTGAGCTACACAAGAACAGGATTTTAATCTGGTGTGTTCGCTGCTGTAGAATATTGCCTAGCACATTAAAAAAAAAAAAAAACAGTTGCTGTCGAGTCGATTCCAACTCATCGCGACCCCACGTGTTACAGAGTAGAACTGCTTCATAGGGTTTCTTGGAAGCAGATCACCAGGCCTTTCTTCCATGGAGCCACTGGGTGGGTTTGAACCTTTTGTGCCACCCAGGTACCTTATGCCTGGCGTACAGTAGGTACTTAATAAAAATCTGATGAATGAATGAACAGATGAACAACAAGCTCCTCTTCCTCAGCTGTTAAGATTTAGCTAAAAAGTGATGCTTTTCCTTAAGCAGGCTCCCCTGTCAGCATCCTCCCTGCACCCTGCCCAGAGTACTCTACAACCCCTGCTTATTCACAAGCCAGCATCCCCAGTAATAGATCTATTTCCCCAGTGCCAGGCATGATGTTCATGAATGCATATATACATGAATGAATGAATGGATGGATGAATAAATGCATATACAGATTGGGCTGTGTTGAGGAGGGCAGCTGTATGCACGACTTCCCAGGGATGGGAGGGGACCTTATACCTTCTCTCCAATCTCTGTCTGGTCCCCGCTGGGCAGCATCTCCAGGTCGGCCAGCAGGGCACAGGCCTCTAGAGTCCGTTGGTAATGCTTGGGGTCCAGGGCTCGGCCAAACAGCACATTTTCTTGAAGAGTGGCATTCTGGATCCATGCCTGCTGGGGCACGTAGGCCACGGAACCCTGGCCACGGAAGAAGGTTACCTCTGGTTTCACCCAAGGCCTGACCAAGCCCCATGCCCTTCCCTGGAGCCCCTGCCCTTCTCACCTTCACATACACCTTGCCTTCCAGCTTCTCCATTTCCCCCAGCAGGGCAGACACCAGGGAGGACTTCCCACAGCCCACAGGCCCCACCACGGCCACCAGTGCCCCTTTTGGCACCTGGATGTCCAGGCTGGGGGCAAGGAGACCAGGAACCCAGTCAGAGGCAGGATCTGAAGGGCAGGTTTTTGGTCCCCAGCCCTCTACCTGGAGACCCAAGCCTCCTGGCAGCCAGTCACCACCCTGGCAAGCCAAGGCTCTTCCTGCAAACCAGGAAAAAGACTTGGGGTGGGTGCTTCTGTTGATCTGACCTTGGGCCCACTTAAGGCAGCTAAGAAGGGATTGGGAGAAGCTGGTACCTGTGCAGGGTGGGGGGCAGGTCCTGGGCCCAGGTGAAGGTACCATTGTCTATGGTGATGGCATAGCCTGGGAGGACCAAGGTGTACAGGGTCAGGGAGCCTCAGGGATGGGGAAGCAGGGCAGGGAGGCTTGGAGGAGGGGGGGGGCAGGAAGCCTGGGCAATGGGGAGGGGACCCCTGGAGGGAGGAAAGGAGGGAGCGGTGTGGGAAGCCCTGGGGAAAGGGCAAGGGGGAGAGGGCAGGGAAGCTTGGGGACAGGGGTGGAGGAGCAGGAAGCCCTGGGAGCAGGGGAGGGGAGCCCTGGGATAGCAGAAGAGAAAAGAGCAGAGAGTCTGGGAGAGGGGAAGGGGGCATAGAGTTAAAGCACAAGTGAAAAGAGAAGAAAAGGAGTCCCAAGAGAAAAATTAGGCAGCCTGGAACTGAAGATTTTCTGGAGCAAGGGCTGGGGCCTTTAAGGGCAGCCCAGGTGGAGGCTCTCTGCACCTGGAGGGATGGTCTTTCTTTCCACACACTTGGTGTCAAGTTCATCTTGGATCAGGAAATGCTGGATCCGTTTCAGAGACACGCTGGTCTGAAGGAGGGTGTGAGTCAGCCCTGGAGGGAGCCCTTTTCCTGCCCTCTCCACCTCCTTACTCCTGCCTGGTCCCCAACTTCCTGAGCTAGGGAAGGGCCACTTGGGGTCCCTCCACAGTAGGATCTTCTGTGGCACTCACTGCCTAAAGATGAGGGCAGATTGGTAAGAGGAGGCTGTTTCCAGAATTCAGGTTTCCAGAGACCCTACCTGACCTCCTCTGACCCCAAATGACCCCTGGCCCTAATGACCTCATTCAACCTTGAACAGTTCTCCATAATCCCAATGGGCCTCCCCTGATTTTAAAAACTCTCCTTGATCCTGACCCTAAGTGACCCCTCCCTGACCCCAACAACCTGCCCTAAGTCCATCAGATCCCCAGCCCCACCCAATGTCACCTGGGTCATGCCACTGATGAGCTGGGGCAGAAGGTTGAGGGGCAACTTTAAGATATTGAACAGGGTCAAGGAAACAAAGGCTTTCTCGGCATCCAGCACGTTTTTCTGGTCCACAGAGACGTATACCCCAATGGTGACCATGGTTACCTGGGCAGCGGTGGGGGGTGGGGTGTCAGAGCGGCATCCCCTGGGTTCCAGCCATACTGAGGGGCCCAGAGGTCTGGGCTGGCCAAGCAGGAGGCAGGAGCCCAGCCCTGGGGGGGAGAGCCTCACCAGGAAGGGGGTGCAGATCCAGATGAAGGTAGATATGGCATGCAGGTAGGTAGACTTGCACAGCAACCGGAGCTCACCCTGTCGGATGCCCTCCACCCGCTCAGAGAAGCTGGGCTCCCAGGCATACAGCTTCAGCACCTTGATGCCAGCCAGGATCTCACTCATCAGCTTGATGCGTGAGTCCTTGAGCTTCATTTGCTCCACCTGTGTGGTGGAAAGAGTGGCAGTAGCATGCCCTGCTCCCCTCCCCACACCTCCTACCCGTGGGGCTCAGACATTCTGACCATTCCTGCTCACCGTCCTTCTCCTCCCTGCTGGTGCCTGTGCTGTGACTTCCGCCTGGGATGCCCCCACCTCTCCTCTGCCTGACAAAACCCAGCTCCAACCTCAATGCTACCATCGCTGACCCTCCCAGGCAGTGTCCTTGGCCCCCCTCCCTGGGTTTCTAGAGCATGTTGTACTTTCCTTTTGTTCTGATAATGGTTACTTTGCACACATGTTTCCTCCTTAGGCTGTGAACTTCTTGAAGATAGGGATCAGTTCTAATTTATCTTTGTTCCCCAGACCCTCACCCATGACCTGGTACCAGTTGCCATTGAGGCACCTCCAACTCATGGTGACCCTATTGTGTCAGAGTAGAACTACACTCCATAAGGTTTTCAATGGATGATTTTTCAGAAGTAGATCACCAGGCCTTTCTTCCAAGACACCTCTGGGTAGATTTAAGCCTCCAACCTTTCAGTTAGCAGCTGAGCATGTTAACCATTTGCACCACCCAGGGACTTGCAGGGCCTGGTGCATCAAGTTAATTTATTCATTCAACCCCTATTTATTGAGTGCTTGCTATGTCCCAGGCCCTGTGCTAGACATGAGGAATATAATGATAAACAATTCAGATAAGGTCTCAGCCATTATGAAGCTGGCAGTCTGATGGGGGAGGCAGACATTAAGCAAATTACCCGAATACATGCTTAATTATAAATTATGTGTGCTCTGTAGGGAAATAACAGAGTATTATGAGAGAATAATGGAGTGGGGGCAGGGAAATGAACTTAGACTGGCTAGTCAGGGTGGGCCTCTTGCCAAAGTGACATTTATGCTGAGAGGTGAGGGAAGGGAAGGGATGAGGCAGGCAAGGCGGGGGGAGGTGAAGAGCATTCTTGGCAGAGGGAACAGTAGGTGGGGTGGCCCAGAGGCACGAAGATCTTGGTGCTTTGGAGAAAAGAATGGCCGGAATGGCTGAAACTTGGCCATACCTCATGGGTTGAGGGCTTCAAATCAAGTAGAGGCATGGTGAGCGGTCTTAGAGAACTCGTCATTTATTCCATGTGCAATGGGGAGCTATTGAAGACTTCAATAAATGTTTGCAAATAAAGGACTGAATGACTGACTATTTACACTCAGCATAGCATGGTGGGAAAAGCTCTCATTAGACCAGAGGACACAGGCCCGAGTCCCAGTTCTGCCTGATTCTGGCTGCCATACTCTCTCTGGGCCTTGGTTCCTCAGCTGCAAAGAAGAATGTTGCTAGGACCCTGTCAGGGTTTTTGCGAGAGTAGAGTGAGCTAAGACTGTGGAAGTGGCTGATAGCCATCCATACTCAGTAAGCAATGTAATTGAGAGGACCCCAGGTAAATGAATGCCCTCTCCCAGGCACCTGGCCAGCTGCGCCTCTGATGGCACCCACCTGGTAGGCCCGGATTTTCATGGCCACAGCTCCATTGAGTGGAATCAGCAAGACCAACAGAACGACTCCAGCCAGGGCGGAAGGACCCAGGTTCTGAGGAGGCACAGGTTGATAGATAAGACAGGCAGACAACCAAAGATGGTAGACAGAACCCACCAGACAGATAGGCCTATTGACCGGAAATGTGGAGATGGGCAGGAAGCAAAAGACAATGGTCAGTCAAACAAATAGAGAAAAGCAGACATTTGCAGAAGCAGCTGATCCATCAGATGCTGACAACAGACAGTGGCAGCAGATAAGGACACACAAGCAGAACAATGTTCAGACACACAGGAAGGCAAACACAGACAATGACAGCCAGAGTCACATCCACCCTGCCTCCAAGTCCCCCTCTCCTTCCCTGGGCTCTGCAGGAAGGATAACTGCATAGGCTGGAAAGACTCAGTTGTAGACACCAGTGTCCTCGTAGTCCTGTTCCCCCACCAATGCTAGGGAAGCTCTCGTCCCCATTATACAGCCCCTCTGCTGACCTTCTCTGTTGCTTGTCCCTTCTGCAGCAAGGTCAGAGGAAGAGGGCAGAGATCAGGGTTTGAGAGTCACCTGCCAGAGGAAGTAGATTGCCAGGGTGATCTGCAGGGGTGCTGCCCATAACAGGTTGAGGAAGGGGGCAACATCCATGAAGCGCTGGGCATCCACTGACATGAGGTTGACAATTTCTCCCACAGTGTACTCACGCTTGACTGAATTGCTAATGGCCAGAGTCTGCAGGGGAATAGCAGGGTGATGGACAAGGCCCATGAGCCTCTCCAAACTTTACAGGGCCCCCTGCCCCTGCTCCAGCTGACCTTCCTGTAGATGGCACCTATGATCGCTGTTCGCAACCTCAATGCAATCACAAAGATGTAGTGGTAATATTGGTTCAGGATCACCGTCTGCATCACGGAGCACACAAACATCAGCCCTGCTACCACGAAGCCCCACCAGGTGGGGGCCGAGGGGTTCGAAATAAACTTGATCAGGATGCTGCAAGGGAGGAGAGAGGCATGAGGGTGGGGAATGCTCCCCCAGATGCTCCCTGCAGCTGTCCTCCCCTTCCACTCTCAGCCTCCACTCTGCCCTCTGCCTCCACCACCTCTCAGGTGGGGCTGCTGCTCCTCTAGAACCCCCACCGTCCAGGCCAGGGGGGCTGCCCAGTGCTGCCTCCAGACCATGACCCCTCCATCCTGGTTCCCTTCAGCCTTCACCTCCTTCCCTATCCATGTGAACCCCACCACCCACCGCTCTCATTATTCTCTCACCACCAGGCTCACCTGCCTACCATTCTCGCCTCCTTGGACCAGATGCAGGAAGAAATGCCATATGTCCATTCATTTGACTTTTCTGCACCTTATCCTAGGCTGCTGAGGGCCCTAGAGGCTGACCACAGGACTCTTGCCCCTCCATCCTTCGTCTCCAACATCAGCATTCCCCCAGTGCTGCCTAGTGACCTTCTCCAGGGCCCTAATCCACCTCCTCTTCCATGGAGGCCTGTCCCCACTCCCCCCTCTCAGCAGCTGATCTGTCTTCCCACTTAACCACCTGCTGAGAACTCCCTTCAGCCACAAACTTCCCTCCAAACTCACTCTTCTTCTTTCTTCTCACTCAGAAGAGGCGGTGTCCCTCTGGTTCTCCCAGCCTGATCCCACCCCTGAGCCCTGAATCCCATCCCCCTCCTCAGGAGCATGCTCCCTGACTGCCCCTCTTTCTCCTGATCTTCAATATGTTCATTCCCATTGGCTACTCTATGCCATCACCTACTGACATAACCAAGTCTCTTCCAGGTTGGATAAATCTCCCCTCAACTCCATGAAGCCCTCCAGCCATACTGCCCCTTCTGTCGTGGGCTGAATTGTGTCCCCCAAAAAGATACGTTCAACTCCTAATCCCTGGTACCTGTGGAGTGTGACCTTATTTGGAAAAGGGTCTTTGCATATGTAATCAAGTTAAGACCAGGTCATACTGGATTAGGGTGGGCCAATCCTATTATGACTGGTATCCTTATAAAAGAAGGGAGAGGGAGATTTATACACAGAGATACAGACACAGTCAGAGGAGAACACCACGTGAAGATGGAGGCAGAGATTGGAGTGATGCACCTACAAGCCAAGGAATGTCAAGGACCGCCAGCAACCACTAGAAGCTAGGAGAGGGGCATGAAACATTCTCCCTCAGAGCCCCCAGAGGGAACCAACCCTGCCAACACCTTGGTTTTGGACTTCTAGCCTCCAGAACTGTGAGAAAATCCATCTTTGTTTTAAACCTCCCAGTTTGTGGTAATTTGCTGCAGCAGCTCTAGGAAACTTCCTTTACAGTAAGTTTCTAGACTGCCATGGGCCCGGTCTCCACTGCAGACCCCTGCTCTCAGATTATGCCCCTCTGCTGAGGTCCCTGCTCTTAACAAGCCACTAACAAACTCTGAGCGCCCTATTTGACTGGCCAACTTTTTTCACTGGTGGTCACTTTCCCCTGGGAAGCCTTCTCTGCCTCTGGTCCACGCCACCACACTCTTCCAGACATTCTCCCGGGCGTCAGAACCCCCTAGGACTCTGTCTGGGGCCCTCTCCCTCAGCAGGTGCTATCTGGGAGAGCATAGCCAGATGTGGGACCCTGACTTCCAAAATGATGGCCCTGAAAATGCCGTCTCCAGCTCTCTGGGAATTTCCTCTCGCACCTCTGGCAAAGACTGACCTCACTACCTTCCCCACCCCGACAAGCCTCCTTAAGGCTTGAGTTAATCATCTCATCAAAAGACTCTTCTTCCTTCAGTTACCCAGTGACCTTTCCCTCCCCCTGGCACACACCCATCTCTTGAATGGCTCCTGGATCCTTACTTCATTCCTGGCCTGAGCTCTTACCTGACTGGGTTGGCTCACTTCCATCTGGCCTTCCTGCCCTGCATCCCCTACACTGCTGACAGGGAGATCCTTCCGGAATGCAAACCAGGCATCCCTCCCTGGCTTCAAATCTTTCAAAGATATTCTTAGCTCTTCCTCTCTCACTTCCTGTGTCTGTCCCTTCCTCTGGGCACCCTTTGCTCCAGCATTCAGAAATGCCTGGAGTTCCTGAGTCATGCTGTTTCAGGCCTTTCTGACTCTGCCTGGGTACACTTTCCCCTCCTTCTTCACCTAGTTAATGCCCACTTGTCCTTCCAAACTAAACCTCCTTAGCTGGTGAATGTGCCCTGCCCCTTCCCAGGCTGGCTCCTTGCCCCTCTTGGAGTTTTCCAGGCACCTGAGCATACCTCTGCCCACACTGTAACTGATTTATACACCAGTTTCTCCCACAAGATTTTCAGGCCATGTTTTATTTTTCTCTGTATCTCTAGTGTCTAGCACCGTGTCTGCTATCTTCAACAAGTGTTTGTTGAATGCATCCATGCATGAATGAATGAGTAGAGGGGCAAGGGGTTGGGGCTGTGTTGCTAGGCAGCTCTCCTTGCCACCCCCTCATCTGAGAGCTCCTTCTAGTCCAAGCCACTCATGTGACAGATGGCAGAACCTGATGGTGATGGGGAGAGCACAGTAACTGGAGTCAGAGCCCTGGACTCAGTTCCGACTCCATCTTTTCCAGCCGTGTGCCCTTCCTTGGGCATGTCGCTTCACCTCTCTGAGTTTCCACTTCCTCTTTTGTAACATGGGAGTAGGAGCACCTCCCTGGAGGATTGGTGGGAGGAGTTAGAGAGGGAATGCTTGTTGATGTGCCTACCATGATGCCGACACAAAGCATGCATGCAGTAAATGGAAGTTAAGTGTGACTGGGGAAACGAGGTGATGTGACTTGCTGGAAGTCATGCAACAACTGAGAATCACCTCTTTGGATCCTGGGCTGGGACTCTTTGCCCTGCATGTGGTTCCTCCCCCTAGGCTCAGCCCCCGTGCTCAGCCAGCCAGCCCCCTGCCCAGGGAACGGCTGCAGCAGGGAAGTGTGGTGAGACCTGAGCAGCTGTGGGTTGACGAAGGACAGCAGGTCATAGATCAGATTGAAGAAGCAGCTGATGAGGAAGGTGGGGCCAAAGGTGATCACCATGGCCTTTAGGAAGGAGGGCTCCCGGGGCCGGGCCTGAGCCCCGAGCAGCACCTCGTCCTCGCTGGAGACTTTCTTCTTGAATGCCGCCGCGGTCTTGTGTCTGCTCCAAGGAGGAAGAAGCAGTGGGTAGGAATGGGCACGTGGGCACCATGAACCCGAGGGCAGAGCTGGGCGGGCCAGAAGGAGGGAAGAGGGGACTGCTTTCTTGACTCTCAGAACTGGGAGGGGACAGGCATGACCTGCCAGCTGAGAATTCCCAGGTGACTCTGTACTCAGGTGCTAGAGGGCACAGGAAAGGGTGCCCCAACTCCTACCCAAGGACTATGATGCCCAGCAATTACCAGTCTCTGGCCCTCTCCCTGAGGAGCCCTGGTGGCGCAGTGGCTAAAGTGCTCAGCTACTAACGGAAAGGTCGGTGGTTCGAACCCACCAACAGCTCCACAGGAGAGAGATGTGACAGTCTGCTTCCGTAAAGATTACCACCTTGAAAACCCTATGGCACAGATCTACTCTGTCCTACAGTGTTGCTGTGAGTCGGAATCAACTTGCTGGCAACGGCTTTTGCCTCCAGACAGGAGGAGGCAGGACTGAGAAGAGGGGCTAGCCTCAACCTTTTTCCCCTGGCCCTTCCCCCCCCTGAGGGAAGTCCCTGGAATCTACCCTGGAAGTTGGCCCAGGTAGTGTAGTGGCAAGAGTGCGACCTCTGGGGTCAGACAGCTGGGTGCCACCTGTTTCTGCCACCACCAACGAAGGGTCTTTGGGAGTGTCAGTACACCGCTGTGCCAGTGTTCCCATCTGTAACATGGGGATAAATGAGCCTACACTGCAGGGCTGTGGAGAGATTAAATGAGTTAATCTACATGCTTAGGGCCATGCCTGGGATGGAGTAAGTGCTCGGAAAGTGTCAGCCGTTCTCCTGCCCTCTGGAGAGCTGGGGAGGACCTGCCCCCCCCAGGCCTGAGTTTCCCACCTGATGGTCCTGACGTTGCGTGCCAATTCAACTCATAGCGACCCTGCAGGACAGAGGAGAACTGCCCCAGGGGGTTTCCTAGGCTGTCACCTTTACGGGAGCACATCATCATGTCCTTCCTCCCGTGGAGCAGCTGGCGCGTTTGAACCACCTACCTTTCGGTTAGCAGCTGAGTGCTTAACCATGGCACCACTAGGACTCCTTAGTGATCCTGAGAAATCACCTGTGCCTGCTCTTCTCGCCACCCTAGCCATGGGATTATCCCAGGTCTACCAGCTTCTGTTTCCTCCTAGGTGGGGGCACGGGGTCTGTGAAGGAGCTGGGGTGGAGGAGGTATGCTAACATGGGGAGGGGCTCACCGCGCCGCCTGCTTTTGCTGCTTCTTCCACGCCTCCAGCAGCCGCTGCACCACCATCTGGGAGCTGTCCTCCTCATTCAGGGACCAGAGGTCCTGCTCTTCCAGGGGGCGGCGGTAGCCAAGGATGGCCATCCTGGGGCGAGAAGGTGGGGGTGGGCAGCAGCCCCACAGAGGGTCAGAGTTTAGCTGCCGGGAGCTGGGGACCAGTGTCCAGACCCCCAAATGGCCAAAGAAGCATGGCCCCAATGGGTCTCCAGAAAGGAGGGCCCCCCCTTGGGTGCTGTGACCAAGGCTGTATCTCCTTTTTTCCCATAGTGAGCAGGCTGTAGGCCACTCACCATCCCCCTCCTGAAGCTTCCTGCCTCTGGTCCCTTCTCCTCCTCCTCCCCAGATGCCCCAGCTCCCCAGGGCCCCGTGACTGGATTCATACTGGCCGGGCCCTGGGCTGAGGCTGAGCCGGTGGATGCAGCCCAAGCCTCAGGTGCTTCCTTGGTACAATGCAGTTAATGAGCTGTCACCCAGGTCACAGACACAATTATCCTGCTCAGGCCGCTCGGAGGGGCAGCCAAGGAGATGACAAGCTGCAAGCTTACCTGAGATTGAAGAGCTGGGCACTAATTACTGTCTTCTTCCAGCCCCTAGCCTGTCCCCTGCGGCCTGGGATTAGAGGTGGGCCAGGCCCGGCCTCTGCATTCAGCCCCCAGGCTCAAACAGACATGGCTCCCCACCCTCGCCTGCCCGCGCCGTGGGGCAGGGATCCATATAGGAGGACCACCCAGGCCCAACACCTCAGGCCCCTGAACTTCTGAACTTCTGGCCTGACTGCCTTCCTCCCTCTCACTTTCTCCCTCTCCCCCTCCCTCTGGCCCAGGCTGGAGGAAAAGCCACAACTCACTTTGTGAACCACCAGAAAGACAGGCGGGAGAGGAAGCCGGCGTTGGCCTCTGGGCAGAGGTTCTAGAAGGCGAGAGAGTGGGACAGGGGACTCAGGAGTGCCCACCACCCTCTCAAAGAAGAGAGTAGCCCCTCATTCCTTCCTGCTCCCAGCCCCAGTTTACAGACTGTAGGGGGTGGCATCTCTCCCAGGCACCCCCCTTGGAAGGACCTGAAAGGGATGGGAGTCGCTGGTAAGGGCTGGGGCTGAGGAGTAAGATTTGGAACCAGATGAATACCATTTAGACTGGGTACCCACTGCCACCTGGCCTCCACGGTAAACTCACAGGGTCGAGGTTCTTTGGGGAGAAAAATGGCGGCTTCTCTCTGAAGCAGGACAGGATGAGGGCAGAAAGTACCAAGGCAAAGTAGATGTAGAAGGTGGTGAAGAGGAAGGGGTCAGAGATCCTGCCCTGGAAGGGAGAACGGAGACGGGCAGCCCTGGGCTGGCGGTCCTGGCCCTGGAGAGCTTCGGGGCTTCAGGCTCCTGAGATAGAGGCAGCACCCGGGGGCCTCTGGGTCACCCACCCAGAGGATTCTGAGACATGGGGAGGGGGCATAAGGGGGGCTACTGCTCGGCGAGGACTTGCCCTGTGCCAGGTACCCTGCCACGCACTTTACGAACATTATCTGGTCAAACTCTGACAACCTATAATAAGTACTCTTCTTTTAAGTGTACATTTCAGCGACATTAATAACGTTCACCATGTCGTGCAGCCATCACCAAGATAGGTACTATTATGATACCCATTTTGCCATTGAACAAACTGAGGCTCAAAAGGAGTAGGCAACTTGCCCAAGACCACACAGGGAATAAGTGGACTGTTTAGAGCCTGTGCTCTTAGCTAGTATACCCTTGCCCGCCTCTCCTGAGATGGAGAAATGGGGAGGCACTATATTGACCCCCCAGTGTCCCATACCTCCCCCCCCCCCGCCACCACCACCAGGGGCACCGTCTCCTCTGGCAAGATCAAGACAAAGGTCAAGAGCTGAGGAAGGTGGGAAGAAAAGGGGAGAACAAGATAGTGGGTAAGCCAGACTATTCATGGATATCTGCATACATTCATTCATTATACAGACATTGAATGACACCATATCAGACAGGGCACTTGGTGGTGGTGGTGGCTACAGAGCAGCCCCTGCACTCCCACAAACCCAACAGTGGCAGAGACTTTGCCCCATTCCCCTGTATTACACCGGTCCTGCCCCCCACCCCACCCCCAATCCTGGCCTGTCTCCCTACAGAGATGTGACGAGTGGGAACAACACCGTGAAAAGGACTGAGAAGCAGAGGAGGTCCTGGGAGCCCGGGAGGGTAGAGGGCAGGAGCCTGGGACCCAGCAGTGACCTCGAGCCCTGAGGTCATTCCCCAGACAGGGCTGGACCTGGCAGGGCTCCCCTCACCACGAACCCTTACCTCTGACATGGCCAAAAGGATCTTGGAGCGGAAGGGGATGATGGCGCAGAGCACGCACAGGAACCAGAAGGTGATGAGGACTCCAGAGGACTGTACTCCCCGCAGCCGCTCATGCTGGATCAGCAGGGTGGCCACCAGCTGTGCAGGAGGGCAGGGGAAGCCCAGCCAGAGCATACACATATGGATCTGCCTCCGTTCCTGATATTTCTGGGGTCACTCCCATCCTTTCCCCACTCCCAAGGTGTACAACCCTTCTCCTCAGAGTCCATAGTCCCCTCATCACATTCCCACATACCAACTGGAGACCCTTCCCCATCCAGCTTCCCGGGCCCCACACTGACCATGGTGATCCCCACCACCAGGGGCGTGACAAAGAAGATGGGGGCAGGGGCCCAGCCGTGGACCAGGCCATGGAAGGAGTAGAAGAGGTCAGCCCAGGAGACACACCACAGCAGGATGCCCAGGGCCTGCGGACAGGGCACATATTGGAGCCCCCTCCCCAGAGTCAGGAACAGCCCCAGCTAGGGAAGGGCCTTGGCTCCTGAACCCACCACAAGGCGCCAGATCAACCTGGGCCTGGCTCTTTGGCAGGGGTGGATTACCCAGTAAACAAGGTATGCATAGGCTTTTCACCGTGGTAAGCAACAGGTGAAATTGTGCACTACAGATTAGTAACTAAACACAATTAAGCCCACGCATACCTTGCTTATTGGGTAATCTGTCCTTGCTCTTTGAACTGGGAAGGGTGTTGGCCGAAAGCTTCGCGGGGTGAGGTGAACCTTGCTGGAAAACTTGCTTGAACTTCCTCATTCAGGGAATATCCCAGTTGGCGGCACACCCAGCTGGCAGGCCACCCTGGCTCAGAGATGCAGGGCAGTGAAGCTGGGAAGACTGGGGAAGCTAGTCTGGCTGATGAGGGTAGTGGGTGAAGGGCTCATTGAAAGAAGAGTCCCCAAACCTCAGCCCCACCCTCAGGAGAGCCCTGAGTCCCATACCGTCTTGAGTCTGGAGAGGTGGGAGAGGACGATGTAGCCTCGATGGTGGTTCCGCAGGTAGAGAAGGTAGAAGGGCAGGGCGGCCCACAGGTAGATGCAGGGGGCCCAGGCCAGCAGAGAGTTCTGGAAGCAGGGCGTGAGGTCGGGGTTGTCTGTGTGCAACGACAGGTTGGAGTCCTGGGGAAAGAGGACAATGCAGGGCTGGGACAGCCTCCTGGAGGATCGGGCTCTCCCACCAGAGAGATGGCCAGGCCAGAGGCGAGGATGACAGAGCATAATTGCACGAGCGAGCGGGGGCTGTCCTGCGTGTGAGCTCTCTGAAGAGGCCGTGAGGTTCACTGGGGGCCTCCCTTTCCTGATTCCCTCTTCTCTCTCTCTCTCATTGAGGTATAATTTATGTACAAGAAATGCATCCATTTAAAATATACAATTTGATGAGTTTTCACAACTGTATACACCCAGGAAACCACTTCCACAACAAAGATACAGAAAATTGCCGTCACCCTAAAAGTTCCCTTCTGCGCCGTTGCTGTCCGCCCCTCCCTCCACCCTGGACCCAGGCAACCACTGATCTGCTTTCTGTCACTCAAGATTCCCACTCTCTTCTTCAAAAAATTAACTTTTTAGTTTTATCAAAGTAATATATGCACAAGGTTTAAGAGACCACTTTCTCTTTAAGCCTCTCCTAGGTAAGGGATCAAGGGGCCCTGGTGACACAGTGATTAAGCATTTGGCTGCTAGCCAAAAGGTCAGGCAGTTCAAATCCACCAGCCGCTCTTTGTGGCAGTTCTACTCTGTCCTATAGGATCACTATGAGTCAGAATTGAGTAGACAGCAATGGGTTTGGTTTTTTATTTTATTTTTATTTTTGGGTAAGAGATCAGGCGCTTCCCTGAGACACTGGGTAGTTGTGAGATCAAAGCAGCAAAGGATGTGGGGAGGTCTTTGTTAATTACAAAGCCGAGGGTGACCAACTGTCCAGGTTTGCATGAGACTGTCCTGGTTTGGTCCCACACCTTGGGAAACCACTTGGTCCCTGGCAAATAGGGACGTGCGGTCACTCTACTGGCAGCCGGTGAGACCCCTCCTGTCTTTGACTATGATCAGTTGCTGCCAAGTCAACTCCAACTCATGGTGATCCCGTTTGTGTCAGACTAGATCTGTGCCTCATAGACTTTTCAATGGCTGAGTTTTCAAAAGTAGACCACCAGGCCTTTCTTTCAAGGCACTTCTGGGTGGACTCAAACCTCCAACTTTTCAGTTAGCAGCCAAGCAAGTTAACCATTTGCATCACACAGGGAAAACTAGACCTAAAAACTTTTTGGGAAAGAGGTAGAGGATACATTCTTTAATAAACACATATTTCACTGAGATTGTTTTCTCCAAGGCTGCCAATGCCCTAATCTCTTTTTTCCCCTTCTTGCAAAGCATTAGCTGTTCTTTATAGAAAGCTCAGAAACTATAAACAAGTGACAAGAAATCCAGTCGCTGAGTCAATTCTAACTCATGGCAACCCCATGTATGTCAGAGTAGAACTGTGCTCCATAGGTTTTCAATGGCTGGTTTTTCTGAAGTAGATTGCCAGGCCTTTCTTCTGAGGTGCTTCTGGGTGGACTCAAACCTCCAAGTTTTCGGGTAGCAGCTGAGCAAATTAACCGTTTGCACCACCGAAACTACCCACAATTCCATCCACCAAGAGACAACAACTGTTAACCCCTGAGGATATAACCACCTACCTTCTAATTGCCAATTTAAATCATTATCATTTTTATTTTTATCAAAGTTATACATGCACACAATTTAACAAGTCAAAGAGTAAAAAAGAAAATGGTCCCCTACCCCATCACTCATCACCCTTAGCTCTACTATCCAGGGGTAAATACTTTCAAATACAATAACTTTCTTCTTGTAGCTACTTCCATATTTTTAACCAATATGCTTTTACTATTATTGTTTGATTTACCAGTATTTGATAATAGCTAGAAGCACTGGTGGTGCAGTGGTTAAGCACTCAACTGCTAACTGAAAGATCAGTAGTTTGAACCCATCAGCTGCTCCGAGGGAGAAAGATGTGGCAATCTGCTCCTGGAAAGATTAACCAGCACCCCCTCAAAAAAATCCTATTGCCATCAAGTTGATTCTGACTCATAGCAACCCTATAGGACACAGTAGAAATGCCCCACAGGGTTTCCAAGGCTGTAAATCTTTATGGAAGCAGGCTGCCACATCTTTCTCCCACGGAGCTGCTGGTGGGTACGAACCGCCAACCGTTAGGTTAGCAGCCAAGTGCTTAACCGTTGCTTAACCAGGGCTCCCCTTTAACGCCTAAGCAACCACTAATCTATTTTCTGTTTCTATAGATTTGCCTATTCTGGACATTTTATATTAATGGAATCATATAATACGTGACCTTTTGTCTTCTTTTTTTTTCACGGAGCATGTTTTCAAGGCTTATCCACGTTATAGCATATATCAGTTCTTCCTTTTTATTGCTGATTAACATTCCATTATATGGCTAGATCACATTTTGTGTATCCATTCATTCATTGATGGACATTTGGGCTGTTTCCACCTTTTGGCTATTATGAATAATGTTGTTATAAACATTCGTGCACAAGTGTTTGTATGGACGTATGTTCTCCTTTCCTCTGGGTCTACCTAGGAGGGAAATTCCCAGTCACGTGATTGTTGTTGTTAGTTGCCATTGAGTTGATTCCAATTCATGGCGACCCCAAGTGTGCAGAGTAGAACTGCTCCATAGGGTGGTGACCTTTCAGAAGCAGATCGCCAGGCCAGTCTCCCGAGCTGCCTCTTGGTGGATTCGAACTGTCAATCTTTCAGCTAATTGTTGAGCACGTAACTGTTTGCACCACCCAGTGAATCTGGTCATATGGTAACACTGTGTTTAGCCAAAGTCTCCTGATGTTTTAGAGCAAGGCACTAAAAGTGGTGGAGGCGGAGACTGCTGGCTGTTGGGCTTCACTGGAGAGTAATTGACTAGGAACCTGATCATTTTGGGAAGACCCCCCACCCCGCCAACTGGCAGAATCTGCAGGTCTTTTTTCTCGGCCCAACTGGGGGAAGAGGCTTGAGGGTCCCATCAGTCAGTCTGCGAACTTTCATTTAACTCAACAAAATAACCTGGTGTTCTCCTGAGGGGGTGGCTGGGTGTTTGTCCAGCTTTGGGAAGGGTTCGAGAAGTAGCCTGGGTATTAAACTTCTCCTTACACAGTCTTCCAACCACCCCTTGCTTTTAGCCCTCCCCATCCCTGTCCCCAACAGCCCTCTAATTCCTGAGCTTTCCGGATTCTGCATCTGCTTCCGTTTCAGCTGTCTCCCCTCTTCTACAACAGTTATTACTCCTTCACCTGCTTTCACCTTCCAAAAGTATGTTGATATCTCCTCTGCTGTTGTCTCCTCTTTGTCCTGTGGGCGTATATCTTTTATTCCTTACTGTCATTTTAGTGGAATTTCAGGAAGGAACAGGGATAAAGCCGTGTGTTTAATCCACTCCAAATAACTAGAAGTCCCTCTAACTGTCAAATTAAATGGGCCCCTTTCAGCCTTCATTCAGGACCTTCCTGTAACAGGGTGGGCTTTCTCCCATCCTCTCAGAACCTACTCTTTTCTGGTCCTCCTTGGTTCTCTACAAGCATTCCTTTCTGTCCCCTCTTCTTCTTTCTCCTAATGCCAGCGTGTAGACATAGATCCTGGGTCCTGACCCTGGCCCTTGGCTCTCTCTCTCGCATCTCTCATTAATGCTCACAGTCTGTACTGAGGAGCCACAAATAATGTCAATAGCTCCAATCCTGCCCTGAGCCTCAGTCCCCACTTCCGGCTGCCTCTCAGCTGGCTTCCCCATTTGTCCTCGGGCACTTCACATTCAACACCCCTCAAACCCAGCCTGACCACTCCCTGCCAGGACCAGCCGTCCTATGGCCTTGCCTGCCTCTGCCAAGGGCACCACCAATCTCCCAATCACCTAGAGGCCCATGGAGGCACCAGGTCCTGTTGATTCTTGGTAGAGTCAAGACAGCAACCAGATTTATGTTTAAGCCCTGGCTCTATTGTTTCCAAGCTCTGTGACCTCGGGCAAGGTGATTAACCTTTCACCAAAGTGGGCCTTGGTTTCTTCATGGCTAACATTGGGGTTATAATACCTCCCACACGGTACCTCCCACCCAAACCCTCAGCTATCATACTGGCCCAGGCCCTCACCTCCTCATGGGCAATTGCAACAAGGTTCTGGTCCCTTCCCTTCCAATACCCTGGGGACCCAAATTCCTGACCTACTCCCTTGGTCTTCCCCTTGCTCCTGGTCATGTCTTCTTGGTCTCCTTGTCCATTACTCCCCTGGTGTCAGAGGGCCCCAGGGCTCAGTCTTTTCCTCTCTGCAGCTCCTTCTCTGTCTGCAATCTCCTTGGTGATCTCACCAGTCTCATAAGAGCATGCCATCTACAGGTCAACGGCTCCCAAATTTATCTTTCCAGTCCACCACTTTCCAAATCCTTGACTATACGTCCAACTGCCAACTAGACATCTCCACTCCACACTACAGTGGCCTACAAGGACATGAACAATGTCCTCCTCCTTCAGGAAGCCACTCTAGGCACCCTAGCCTTTTCCTTGCTTTATCCTTTAAGGCCTTGGCCGGCCAGTTAAGTCACTGTTACTTGAGGGTGATAAGGGACTCTGTGTTTGTGTGGCATTTTATTACAGCACTTACATAGTCATTACCTGGTTGTTGCCTCAGAGCAATTTCCAGAGGCAGATGGGAGGGGATGGTTAAGCCCAATTTACAAAAGAGAAAGCAGGGTTATCCTGCTTCACCAACAGGTTCAAGGACTCTTGGCAGGATGGAGAAGGGACTGGCACCTAGGCCTGTGATGCCAAGCTGGGGTTTCTCCCCACCCCATGCTGCCTGGACCTACACATGTGAACACATCCTCTCTCAAACAGCAACATGGAACCCCTGGGGCTGACACTGTGCCCTATAGCTCTTGGTATGCTGTCCCATACTCTCCAACTCCCAGCACAGTACCAGCTGCACAGAAGTGATCCAGAAATGGCCTGTCCATTGACTAGCAAGAGAGTGAGGGGGAGGGTGGGAGCCGGGGTTCAAGGGCATGACAGGGAATCACCACGTGGGTGTGTAAGCTCGTGACATGGGAGGCAGG